AATGACGCACCACGTGACAATGCTGGCGAACACCTGCGTGAAATTTACATCACATCAGACCTGATTTGACATTTGTTTATGCTATTGTTCAACAACCACGCCACAGTTTAATGAGGTTTAGATGTTGCAATTCGGTAATGTGTCTTGGGATAACTGACGGCATTGTTAGAATATACTTAACTGTAATTTTCACATACCCCCCCGCAAACAATAATTAATATACATTATTCATAACGTAGAAACTGATTTGACATGTAATAAGAAAACGCCAGATATCGGCCCGGGTGGCCCACTCGTCCTGGGTTGAGCAATTCACAGAGTTGCGTCCCTTGGGCATGCCAGATTCTGTAGGTTCGAGTCATAGACATAGCTGCTTCTAGCTTCACCCTTTTTTCTCTCGCATAAAGAGGCCACCAAGGGAGGCAATTAAAATACATACTGCTCAATGTGACATTCAAACAACCTCACTCACATACTTTAGGGACCGTTCATAATTTATGGCTTAGGAGTGTGCGATAAGCATGTACGATATGAATGATCACCCCACCCACCCCAAAAATTATGTGGACCACCTTCCCCCCCTCGCTGCATATGTCATGTACAAAATCAATGACACCCCCCTTGTACATGTGCACAAAATTGATGACCCCCTACCTCCCAAGAAATGGGCGACACACACCACACACCCCGGGGACATTTTATCTATGAAAATAAACATAGTTGCCTATGTATCGGTTAAAATTTACATAATTTTAAACATAGTGCTGGGCCACGTGGTTGCGAATTCGTTTTGTCTTCATTGGACCCGTGAAGGTCCGGGTTGGAATATTGGCCTTCAGTAACCCATGCTTGTCGTAAGAGGCGACTAACGGGATCGGGTGGTCAGGCTCGCTGACTTGGTTGACACATGTCATCGGTTCCCATTTGCGCAGATCGATGCTCATGTTGTTGATCACTGGATTGTCTGGTCCAGACTCGATAATTTACAGACCGCCGCCATTTAGCTGGAATATTGCTGAGTGCGGCGTAAAACTAAACTCACTCACTCACCCTGTCTGCATTGAACCAAGTCGTGTTTACACAAAATTACCTAGCCACGGGTTACCTTCTACCAAACTGTTGCAGGTGACGGTTAAATAGACGTGATCGAACATAATACCAGTTCTATCAATTTTCAGTTTCACTAAAACAAAAAAAATACTTTATTTGTTTAAAGTTTTCACATGTCATACGCACACTCAAAGTCACAACTGCCAAGTGTACGATAACAAGCATTAACCGAGTCAACTGACCTGACCACCCGATCCTTGGTCGTGAAGGATTTCATTGATCTTGACTACCTTCGAGAATTATATAAACATAAACCGAAAGATCCGGGTTAGGACTGGTCTTTAGCAACCTATGCTTGTCGTAAGATTCCACTAACGGGATCGGATGTCATCGTATCCTAATTGCGTAGATCGATGCTCATGATGTTGATTACTGGATTGTAATTTACAGACCGCCGCCACAATATTGCTGAGTGTGGCGTTAAGCAACAACAAACAAAACAAGCACAAACTAATTTATATAAAAAAGGACAGGAAGGTGAAATACGAAGCTAAAGTGAGTGCATATGCCCCAATATATAAAATATAGACTAAAATATTGTCGAAAATGTGTGACATTGTGCCTTTAAACAATAAACTAGTCTGTCTCGCAGTCCCTGAACCACATTATTTTCCCTACTGCCTAGTCCTCCCCTGCAATGCTAAAGCCCTAAATAATGCAAGTCTAGATTTCCTCAGGTTCTGAATCCTTGGTCTCCCTGGGGATCCTTTTCAATTTAATGGGGTTTGTTTGTTACCATCAAAATTATATATATTCAGAGACTAAACGTTAGTCTAACAATAAGCCAGCAAACGCTGGCAAAGCACTTCGCGAACACCACGTCATTTTACTCCGCTTCCAATTCACCGGGCTTTATGAGTGAGTGAGTATGGTTTTACGCCGCTTTTAGCAATATTCCAGCAATATCACGGCGGGGGATACCAGAAATGGGCTTCACACATTGTACCCACGTGGGGAATCGAACCCGGGTCTTCGGCGTGACGAGCGAACGCTTTAACCACTGACCTACCCCACCGCCCCTGGGCTTTATGAACAAGCACATTTTCAAGCACACCAGAAAATATATCTCACTGTGTCAACGTCGTCATGTGGTTGGCAACACTGGTAATAACAAAAGCATCCCCTACCACAATTCTTACAGATTGAGGAGGGGCAGTGGGGTAGCCTAGCGTTCGCTGGTCTCGCCGAATACGGGTTCGATTCCCCACAAGGGTACAATGTGTGAACCTCGTTTCTGGTATCCCACGCCGTGATATTGACAAAATATTGCTAAAAGCTGAAGCCGTATTCACTCAGAGGGTGCGTTTCTTAATCAAATCATTGGCGGGATTTCCATCAGTTAACGCTTATATACTGACAGTTGATTCCTACAGTTTAAGGTAATGTTAGACGTGTGTTTTGAATATAAAGGAAAGTTTGTCTGTGTAGTCTACTCTTTTGCCGGTTGAACAGACAAGATATAAACACGACAGTGTCGGTGTCCGCCCGATCTCGCAACACGGGAAGACAGGGATACTATTGATTTATTTAAGACTATGATTGGACCTAGGATACATGTGTTATGACAGTGTCTAAAACTCCCAAAATTCCAAGGTGGACCATCGTCACGATATGGCTGAGATATTGCCGATGTGACGTTAAATATTAACTCACTTACTCACCCCAAGCTGGACAGCCGGACTGCATGGTAACTTTAAAAAAATACCTGTTCGGATACAAACTTGCCTGTCCGGTTTTCAAAAATAAAAAAATGCGACTGCCATTTCCAACTCGCGCAAGCTCCATTCAAAATGAACTATATAGCACTAACAGGCAATGAACCGAGTTTAGGTAAACTGAAACTGGTTATCGTAACAAGAACTGTCCAATCTTAAGTAGTTTAATAGAATTTTCATAATACCTTAAATACCTCAAACTGATGACAAGAGATCCTGTCTGATATTATGAAATATATTTACTGTTAGGGGTAAAAATATCTACAAGACCACCGTACAGGCTACTTTTGAAATTTGACCGTCAGAAATGAAAATAGACCGTTCCGGACAGTCTGGCAGGCGGGAATTTTAAACGCTGGTTATGAATACATATTTATATTTCATGAAATCCGGTGTAAGCGAGGTGCGATATGATGAAGGAAGAGGGGGATAAAGGAAGAAGGGATGGCGAGTGAGGGACAGGGGGTGAAGGAGAGAGTTGGAGGAGGTATGAGGCTTCTAATATATATTTCACTTTATATACGTTAATAATTAACGTAAAACACAATAAAATACATGATTTATTATAACCTTCATTTGTTATAATCTCTTCTTTACAAGCCACCACAGAAACTACCACATAAACATACTACGCACCCTCCCAGTAGTAGCATAGAAGCAGCAACCATTTGAATGTTTAATCCTGTCCTGTTTATTCTAAACGTTAATAATAATTTAATGTGTCCATTTATATAGCGCCAAACTCCAAACTAGGTATGCTCATAGCGCTAATAATCAAGGCACAGCACATTATTACCCCGGATAACCCAAGCTGCCTGTTAGGCGCTCGAAGGTTATAGTCATATGACTATTTTCCCACCGGGTACCCATTTTCCTGCTGGGTGAACAGAGACAATTTTGAACAAACTCACTTGCCTAAGGTGAGACCACATGTGTCACATGTGTGTTGAAAGCATTGCTCAAGAAGTTGAAGATCCGAGTTAAAATATTTTTTGGTCTTCAGTAGCCCATGCCTGACATAAGAAGCGACTAACGTGTTATCGTCTTCAGGTACGCGGATATATTCTATACGTATCCCATGTGCGTCATCCATGCTTATAATGCTCATGACGTTGATCACTGGATTGTCTGACAGGGACTATTCTATACGTATACCATGTGCGTTATCCATGCTTATAGTGCTCATGACGTCGATCACTGGATTGTCTGACAGGGACTTCATTAACATTACAGACCGCCGCTATAAAGCCTGATTAAGGTTGTTCAGCTTGACCTGAGCTACTCTACATATGCATGACCCGGGAGGTCAAATGGCACAAACGGCTGGTCGAGTTAACTTCATTAAATAGGGGAGCAGAAGATGTTGTTATTGTTGCGTTTGTGCGAAACATGCATACATGGCTTCGTTACAGAACTTGTCCCGGAAAACAACACTTCTGAAAAAAACAATCATTTCATGTTTTAATAGAATTGTTTTTTACAGTCATATGCTATCTAGTTTGGTTTACTAACTTTACTATGTGCAGACGTCAGTAATTTTCACAATCCGATTCACTCTCGCTAGATCACTCTCTCCACCCAGTTCAATTATCACTTTTTCCATTTCATGTTCAACTGCAATATTTCTGTCCCAGTAGTCGCTTTCCAAGTTTTCAACATGGGCACAGCAATCAGTCCACTCGTTTACACCAATTTCAAGAAACCTCGCCTCAGCGAATTTCCTAGAATCGGTGTACACTTCACATTTTTGGCAGCTACAAAATTTTCACATTGGCCCATATAAGTTCGATTGGGTTCAGATCTGCGTGGTATGGAGTTAGCCTGATTCCTGTGTGACCGTGTAAAGAAAGTAAGGACATTGCTGGCGATTTCTCGACACTGAGATGTCAAACGGCGACCTTGTCTCGGCTGTTCGGACATGTTGACAATCAGCCGACAAAGGCGCACCCCTTCACAATAATAGACCAAACCAGTTGTGACATGGTCACGCAATCCATTAGTATTCACTTGATCAGGTCAAGCTGAACAACCTGTACTTGCTGAGTGCGGCGTAAAACAACACAGTATAAACTGTTAGTGTTGGTGGTGGTTGTAGTTGCCACTTTTTGCTACGATATTTTGCCACTAAATGATTAGCGAACCTGGCATCAAATTCATGCAACACGCTTGCATTCGGATTTCAGTCTTTTTTTCCTCGCTCACAGTTTTATCAATAAAAATATATTAATAATAATAACACGTCGTTGAGCCGAAAGGAATGCACCGTGCACAAAAAGAGGAGAAAAACATTCCGTCTGGACATTTCAAAACGCCCATAGTTCTTCCTCTCTCACACCTCAGGTACCACGGGTAGTTGGTCCGGGTTGGCAGGGCGTGGTTCCCGTCCGGTTTACCAACACAGGATGGCCGGAGCTCCGAACAGGGCAGACAGTGAGGATCTGTGCATGTGATGTTGAGAGCCTGGTAGTCGCCTGTTGGTAAAATGTGAAATGATAATTTAATATTCTCAGTCCGAGGTATGTGTCAAGTGAGTGAGTGAGTGTTTGATGTTTGTCAATAATTATTTGATTATTGTAAATACTTAAAAAGGAAATAATCAAGCAATAGGACGGTATGGCTGACCATGTGGGTACATTCTATAAACGATTAAATGTCTACCCTACGTTCATTGGCCAAATGTTTGAATTGTTTGATGGTTAACGCCACACTCGACCATTGAAACTCTCGTGAAAATGAAGTGTGCACCCCCATCTCTCAAAAGGCTGTATCCGCCCCTGCACTCAATAATATTAAAGCTATGTGGCGGCGGTTTCTAAAATATTCGAGTCTGGACCAGACAATCCAAAGACCAACAGCATGAGCATCGATCTACGCAAATTGGATACGATGACATGAGTTCCAGATATATGACGATCTGATATATTATCGAATCTTGTATAAACTAAACTCAGAACTATAATTTATAAAGTCTACATGCATGTTACAGGCGTCACGACTATGACCAAGACAGTACATGCAGTGACTGACGTCATTAGCTTTGATCTACGCAGCTGCTATACCACCAGATTCCGTTAGTCGCCTCTCACGACAAACATATTACGCGTACAGCCTGGTTCCCTGGGTCTGTTGCGCATGCGCTAACGCTCCGACACTGAGCGTTAGCGCAGGCGCAAACAGACCCAGGGAACCAGGCTGATTACGCGTACTGTATTTTCAGATACCGTTATTTTACGATCAGTTTTAATTACCACTGAGCTTATAAAATAATTGCTTCTATTTGATATTTACCCCTATTCAAGTTATACGACAGTGACTTACATGGGGCTTTGGGCACTGGTCTTCCATTACAATGTATCTCAGCTGACCGGAAGTCCTCGCAGAGACCGGATGATGGGTTGAAGAGGTCGGGGTAACTGCATTCGCGCGCCACCCCTGAGTGCCGGCATTGCAGTCATAAAACAAAGCGCAGCTCTGGGTGGAGGGTAGCGACCTCTAGCGGTCAGGCGACAGAAGTTACTCCAGCGAACTGTCAAAGATAAAATGGTGGATGGGGAACTTGTATTTTGTTGTATGTATATCTTATTTAAAGGTTATGTTGAGTGAGTGTATTTCTATATCTGCGAAATAATTATTGCAGCAATATTTCTATATCTGAAATTTGACGATATGTTATCAAAATGCAACCCTAAGGTTTACAATACAATTATGATAACCATAAAGACTCTTTGTTGTACTTTTTATTTCAGAGACCATCAAACATGAATGTTGAGTGAATGTATTTCGTGAAAACTGTGTATACCCTTGATTTCTATATCTGCGAAATAATTATTTTGCAGCAATATAACAAATTAATCGAATTTTTCTAGTAAACTGCCGGACAAAAAATGCATACCCTTGAAAATTTGACGATATGTTATCAAAATGTTACTACGACAAACTGCAAACCTAAGGTTTACAATACAATTATGATAACCATTCTAAAGACTCTTTGTTGTACTTTTTATTTCAGAGACCATCAAACATGAGTGTACAGTTTCTTTTTCCTGTCAGTATATTTCGTTCACTGCTTGTTTCATTCTGTAACCAACCCGTGCTATTTCGAGACAAACCGAGGACATTCTTGCGGGTTACGGAAAGGGGCGAATGGTTACGAATGGTTTCACCCATGACCCAATCCTGTTATTCCGGGACAAACCGAAGACATTTTTGCAGGTTACGGAAAGGGGCGAGTGGTGACGAATAGGGTTGTTTTTGGATGCACATGTCCCACCTTTCTCCTGTCTCTTACACTCGTTCCGGTCCATCACACAGATCGGTTCCTTCAGACCAGTGACGGTTCTGGCATCCAGCGGGCACCTGCTCCAGTAAGCTGAATCTCCAACACACCGGACATACCCAGTACAGGCCCAGGGGAGGAGAAACATGACACCGTCCTTACCCCTACACAGGTAGTTCAGCTCAGGGTAAGGGAAGCCAGGCCCTCCTTGGATGAAGCGGGGTTGGCTGGCTGGAGGGTCCATATATTTAGTGAGGGGGTATATATACATGGCTGCGTCTGTGATCACCAGAAGGATACTGAGGGCGAGGAGAGTTAGGGTGGTCATTCCGCGACTCAGGGTGGTGGTCATCTTGGACGTCTTCTGGATTCATCCGATGTTTCTGATGAATACAAAAAAGAACCGTTTCACAGGACACTCACCTTTCAGGATGTTTTTTGATGATAAAGATGTAAAGTAGTTTCTCACTCCCTCCAATGGCATTTGGCTCAGGAATTGTGCTAATCCGGACGCATAATTTGGATTAGTACAGCTCCCAGAAGCTACACAGCAAGGGAAGATCCGGGTTAGAATTGGTCTTCAGCACCCCATGATTGTCGTAAAAGGCGACTAACGGGATTGGGTGGTCAGGTTCGCTGACACAGCGTATGCCAATTGCGTAGATTGTTGCTCTTGCCAAACACAGGATTGTCTGGTCCAGACTCAGACAACTTACAGTCATAGAGCTGGCAAATTGCTGGGTGCAGCGTTTAACACCTTTACAAACCCAGCAGTAACAAGATTTCACTGAAGAAAATGGTAATGTCAGGCTATCACGTGAACAAGGTTATGACTAACATCAATCATTTTACGTTCGCACCTATCGATGATTCATTCGCGTTTCGCATCTCTAAAGGATAAACATCCAAAACTCGTCTCCATCATCGATTCTTCCTGGTAATTATTAATAACCTACTCCTAGTCAATTACTTTTTATTTTTATTGTTTTTATGAATACATCACCTTATACGGAGCGGGGCGGTGGGGTAGCCTAGTGGTTAAAACGTTCGCTCGTCACGCCGAAGACCCGGGATCGATTCCCCACATGGGTACAATGTGTGAAACCCATTTCTAGTGACCCCCGCCGTGATGTTGCTGAAATATTGCTACAGGCGGTGTACAACTCACTCACTCACTTATACGGAGCCACATATTATCCAAATAATGTTATCTGATACTTGTGATAGTGCAGTTTTAGCAATAGATCGCGATAGAAAAATCAATCCATTTATCCAGTTTTTTGTTTTATGTGAGTCGTGCGGAGTTTGGGCGTTTTCATCAGACTGTAGTTACTTTGCGACAAGTAATTCGAGCTGTGTAGATCGATACCCGTGATGTTGATAACCGGATTTTCTGTTCCAGATAGTTGGAATATTGCGGAGTGCAGCGTTAAACAACAAATAAACAAAAATAAAATTCAAAAATTTACTGCAGTGAGTACTCACGTAAACACAAAGGAAATATTTATGTCACAGATAAAATAAACAGTAGATAAAAAGATATAATATCCCCTGAAATTCAAAACCTTAACGGAAAAGCAGACTCACCTATGCAGTCTCTTGATTGAAAGTGTGCCTGTCTCGTTTATACGTCAGGCTTATATACCTGACCATTCATCACTCAACCTGACAATCTAATACTGTCCATCGTATCACGAGCCACTGGACCATGGGTGGACAGTTACCGTCCACTATAACACTTTGCTGACGTATCAACAACACAATTTATGCAGGGTGTTGAAGGGTCACAGGTTACCTACACGTGTTTTATGTTTGTTTATGGCAATGTAAACAAGTATAGGTATGTTCTTTTGGTTTACGTATGCACCCCGATATTACAAACGGGAAATTGGATTACATTTTGGAGAACAGCAATTTTCTACCTTACATTCATGTTAATTAATTCTGTAGTTCTGTATCTACAAAACCTCAATGTAGATATTTAGGGATACCTGTTTGACATACCACTTATAGTCCGTTTGGCTCAAATGCGGACCGATGAATTGCAATCTAACTCGAAAACTAATAAACATATATACTCAATGAAACACTGATCATAATCAAAACATGCATCGGTACTATATCGCTTCAAATTTCAAAACACATTTAGTTTATCTCAGAAACATATTTTGCCTTTAATGATAGCATATAAGAACTTTTTGTGAATATTCAGGAAACATATACACCCTGAAGATAAAGTTGAAACGCGTAGGAGGGAAATTCGTGCTTTTATTTTGTGGATTTCTCTACATATGCATTGCTGTACACTGCTGAAGTTAACCTTTTTATATCACTATGTATTAAGGTGTACAAGAAGAAATAATTAATGCTTTCACGAAACCCAGAGGAAAGGACATTTGAGGAGCAGTATCTCTCTATTTTAAGAGATATCAGTGGAAAGCTTTCTAAGTTGCTTGATATAAGTACAAGTGTTTTACGAGATCAAACCCAAATTTTGCCATCAACTTTGCCACACGAGACCATATTGCAGGAGGCGTTGAACCAGGCAGTATACGGGAATAGAGAGGACTGTAGGGAAACTGGCGACATCAGTACCACACTTCCACGGATCAAACAGAACAAGAAGTTGGCAAAATATTTAATTCCAACGATGGTATGCAGCCTCGAAAAGTCTGCTACAACACGTGCAACACGTGGACCGGCATGCACTTCTACAATGTTACGACGCTGTACTTACACAAAGGGTGGAACATGATATGGACCGATGCTGTTCCGTTAGCACACTCCATTAAAATTGCCATTAACAAATATAAGATGTGATTTCCCGCGCAACTGGGATAGGAAGACATGGTCAACCAAGCTAGCGAGGTTGAGCACCCGAACCCGTTAGTCGCCTCTTACGACAAACATGGGTTACTGCACGAGGAGTGGATCTTCGCGGGTCTACTGCAGTTACTTGTTAGTAGGGGCTGTAGCCCAATGGTTAAATCTTTGGCCAGATCAGCTAGCTTGACCATCAGATCTCTAATAATATAACAATAGCACCTGTGAAAATCCCGGTTTGAATTGGTCTTCGGCAACCCATGCTTGTCGAAACTGAGGCGACTAACAGTATCGGGTGGTCAGACTCGCTGACTTGAATTGGTTGACACATCTCTTCGTATCACAATGGCGTAGATCGATACTCGTGATGTTGATCACTGGATTGTCTGGTCTAGACTCGATTATTTACAAATCGCCGTTGTAAGGAATCTTGCTGAGTGCGGCGAGCGTTAAACAACGAACAAATATAACATTAGATCAAAAACACCGTTCATCCGTTCGTTCATGCATTCATTCACCCATTCATTGCGATAAGACTCAAACAGATTACATGCACTATGGAAGGCTCTCACTCTTTTGTGGGCACAATGTGTGAAGCCCATTTCTGGTGTCCCCCGCCGTGATATAGCTGGAACATTGCTAAAAGCGGCGTAAAACCCAACTCACTCACTCACTTCACTCTTGTGATTATTCGAGAATGTGAGAATTTGTGTTCTATGTACAGGCAGGGCTCCGGGCTATGGTGATGACAGAAACATGTGTCGTTTATATCCTACTTTGTTGTTCAGGCAGTGGCCAGCATACATTTCTCCAATGAACCAATGCATAAACAAGCAGGGTGTTTACACCATGCGGTGACAAGGGATTAGTCTGATGGATAGTACCTGAATACTGTATCGGGAGGAGCCCTTTTATCTACAACAAATACTTCATAAACACATAGTTTGTAGGAACATGCTACGCAATATAACCGCTACTAAAAAACCTACGTTGAATCGCATGCGTAGCTGACATGCATAATCGACACTTATTTTTATTAACCCAAAATATATTTTGCTTCTTAGGAGTGATTTGTTGAGATCATGATAAACATATTTTTACATGTTAAATTTATGTCAATACCTCTGTAGTTGACACTCTTTGACATGTATAAAGGGATGGGGTGGTGACGGGTTAAATGTATGTCAAAATGAAAAAAGAATGGTATACACACGAAAAAAGAAAGTATACACACGAAAAACTGATTTGAAGTTATCAAAACTTTACTAAACTGAAAAAGATGTTATTAAAAGAATGCCGCGTGGATCCAGTAATTGTATCGATCCTTCGATCCCTGCCGAAATACATTTCTCCTAAAATATTAATTTTATTATCGGTCCTTTACACACCACACAAAAGTACGTGAATGAATTTTATTCAACCTTAACTCCACAGTAAAATCTATAATTATGACTAGAGTGGAAAGACTTGGTACGTATGGCATCAAACACTGGTTTTCTTGGTCTAGCCTGTGACCTTGACACGTGTTAATGACAACTGTGATCAAAACATTCATTCACTACCATGCACGATGCAGACTTTGGCCTTCGAATTCTGACGAAAACGTGGAAATGAATGAATTCGTGGTATTAAAGTTTTCGGCACCTCAGGTCTGGAGGATTAAAGCGATTGGCATTTATCACATGGTTCCCAGTGCATGAGCGAACCGTTTCACACTTGCTGCCAATACACTGACTGACTGAATTTGGTTTTACGCCGCTTTAAGCAATATTCCAGCAACATCACGGCGGGGGACACCAGAAATGGGCTTCACAAATTGTACCCATGTGGGGATTCGAACCCCGGGTCTTCGGCGTGACGAGCCAACGCTTTAACCACTAGGCTACCCCACCGCCCCTGCCAATACAATTCTGAAGAAAACAATAGCAAGCAACCTTCCAGGAACGTGATCAAATAGTCCAGCCCCCGTGGTCAATATTGCGTGGTCCTTGTGTTGTCCACTCGTGATGTCCTTTCAGTGAGTGAGTTTGGTTTTACGCCGCTTTTAGCAATATTTCAGCAATATCACGTCGGGGAACACCAGAAATGGGCTTCACACATGTGGGGAATTGAACCCGGGTCTTCAGCGTGTCGAGCGAACGCTTTAACCACTAGGCTACCCCATCGCCCCATTTCCTTTCAGACGAGTGCAGATTGTCCACTCTATATATCTCACATCGTTTAACTGGTGTGCTTACACATAAAACAGGTAAGCATAAAACGCTAGAGTTACATCGACGTGATTAAATATGTTTCTTGTAAATAAAATATCACTTGCTTGAATAAGTTGAAGACATAGAGGAATATTTCGATGTATATATATATTGTTTTATTTTTTTTTATTTTTTTTTTGGGGGGGGGTGTTGTTTAGTACAAATAGAGACACAGGTCATCATTGAACTTGTGAACAAACTCATAAATGAATTATAAAGTAAAAATCAACAAAGTGCATGTAGGCTGAATCTAAGACATGTGATATTGCTTCCAGTATATGCTAAGATCCGATTAACCATGTTATAACCGTACTAGTTATATAATAGTTACATAAGGATGTTAAATCGAGTTAATTAGATACATTGTGAATGCGTGTTAATTACTGTTGGCTATTGAACAGCTTGCTGACCCCGTTATTCGCCCAGGTGTGACGAGTACCTGTTGAGCAGAGTTAACTCCCTTACGGCACTCCTTCAAGATAAAGTCCCGTTTGTATTACAACATATCCCAACATGCACAGCGAGTGTCCATATTTCAGAAAGCATCACTGGCAACAAGCGATATGCTTGTAGACAAGTGTCAGATGGAAGAAAATGCCAGTATTCGCAGTCCCACTTATATCTAGTTTGCACGTAATCGGCAAATAATTTACTAGGACCGGATGAATTTACAGCGCAACGATGACATCATCAAGTTAAGATCTCGTAAAACAATATTTTAGTATCTTGTCCTGTTGCCAAATATTTGTACAATGGTCGTAAGTTGTCATGTGTTGCTTGGAGTCACATGTATTGAGAAATCTTCTGAATATCGTATGACTAATGCTTGCCTTAGCTTTTATTAAGCTGTCATGAACACCATATGTTCAAAACAGAAAATGAGAAGACTTTAGTAATTGCTGAAGTAATGTTTTTATTGAGGTGTTAATGACAAAGGGGCATATTGAAAACCAAGAAAAAAAACACTAAAAAAACAAAATGTCACTTGATGAGTTTGATAGAGTGAAAGTTGTTGGAAAAGGAAGCTATGGAGAGGTGTGGCTGGTTCGTCACAGGAAAGACCGAAAACAGGTAGGAATTATATCCATGCCTTTACCATGTTTACCTTCTGTCCAAATCATTGTCTCATTATGACATTAATGCTTACTACAAATTGTAAAATGTTTATCTATAAATGATCCTCAAAACTTTAATCTTGTTTCTCAATATCACTTATCTTTAGAGGTAGGGACAACAATTGTTTTACCCAATATCCTATATTACTTACTTATCCTCTTCGTCTCTGTATTGACATAAGGCTGCAACACTCTCCATTTGTTATTGTCTTGTGCGAGGACTTTTGCCTCTCAGTCTCATACTGATGTTCCCATCTCGTTTAACAGATGTTCTGCCATGACTCTGAAGCAAATACATGTCAATATTCCCAAACTAGCAATAAAAATTAGAACTCATGTTAATATGGTTAATGTTATGGGTAATCAGAGGCCCAGATAAGCTGCTTATCCGGATAAAATACGCATAGAAAATTTCCAATTACGCATTGAAAAATAATTGTTGCGTACCAATTACGCATTTAAAATGTTAGATACGCAAAAAGTTAAAAAACAAATGCGTACGGAATATATTTATAAAAATCGCTTGCGTAATGAAAAAGACATCGATTGCTATCAAGTTGTATTGTTAGTATAGGACAAGTGTTGTACTGTCAGTATAGGATGAGTGATTTTTTATGAAATCATTTCCATTATATTTAAGTTGGTTTTGATTAGGTATGACATGAGGCAGAACATACCTGCTTAGTAAACTTACTCAATGACGTAATACTTAGGTGAGTAAAATGACTGAAATACGCACATATTTGAAAGCAGTGGGTAACAGAAAATGAAATACCCACTCAACATTCATAATACCCACTCCCAAAAAATACAGTGGGTGCAGTACCCACATGAGCTAAATCTTATCTGGGGCTCTGGGTAATGATAAGAAATTACATGAACTATGTATCATGTATGGATGTGTGCTAAAAGAGTAGGGTACATGCTGTACGGGGTCAAACTCAAAGAGGATCTGGGTGCCGTTGTACAAAGCAGCCTTAGCGCTATGCCAGTCATAAGTCTATTTGAAGATATAGGAGTTACGATCACCTTGCTAAGGTCACTTGGTACAACAGCACCCTGGCCTCTTCACAGTGTGATGAAAGGTCATGTGGATGTTTATCATGTAGAGATGATTTTAACATAACTTTCCCACTCCATTTGTTTGTTAATCTATGGATTGCTTGAAATTAAGTTCATGATTCACAAACCTATGTTTGTTGTCAGAAGCACCCTCATCACTGAATAATTCTTTTTTTCAGTATGTGTTAAAGAAAATGAACTTGTCACGGGCGTCCAAAAGAGAGAGGACGTCTGCCGAACAAGAAGCTAAGCTTCTGTCCAAACTGAAACACCCAAATATTGTGTCGTATAAGGATTCGTTCGAAACACGAGAAGGATATTTGTACATTGCTATGCAATACTGTGAGGGAGGTGATCTCTATACAAAACTTAAAGAACAGAAAAGTGTGCTTCTTGAAGAAAGACAAGTGGTGGAGTGGTTTGTACAGATAGCCATGGCAATGCAGGTGAGGTTTTAAGACAATCCACCTTACTTTTACAATAGGCCTTTTGACAGTAGGCCTGTAGTCATTTATTTTGACAGAGTTGATTTTTCCAGTAAAATTCATATCCATGGTTATTCCAGGTGGGAATCACATAGAGTGAGTGAGTGAGTTGAGTTTTACGCCGCACTCAGCAATATTCCAGCTATATGGCAGCAGTCTGTAAATAATCGAGTCTGGACCAGACAATCCAGTGATCAACAGTATGAGCACTGATCTGCGCAATTGGGAACCGATGACATGTGTCAACCAAGTCAGCGAGCCTGACCACCCAGTCCCGTAAGCCGCCTCTTACGACAAGCAAAGTCGCCTTTTTGGCAAGCATGGGTTGCTGAAGACCTATTCTACCCCCGGATCTTCACGGGTCAGAATCACATAGAATGGATGTCTAGCAAAACATGCAGGTCATTAGAGATGACAGAATGGATGAGGTGGTCAGTCTTGGTGTCTTGTTTGATATTCACTGACGACCAGTTTTACCTGGTCTAAACCTGTAAATTAGTGTAATGTCATGTGTTGTCAAAACACCAATTGCTTAATACAAGACAGGAGCTTATTAGGCCAAATAAAAAAATTGTTGTGGTTCCGATTACAGCTCTTTAAAATTTAGGGTAGGTAGGAAGGAATATTGTATTTTTTTTACATTTTTTTAATAGAGTGAGTGAGTTAATATTTAACGTCACATCGGGATTTTTAGAAATAAAATACAAACTAATAACACATTTATCAATGTGTAATTGTTTATTTACTCAAGCTTACCGCCATCATGTCAACTTTCTCTATCAGAATGACCGGTGTCCATCAGTGCCGGGAAAAAACAATGGAATCTCAAAGCTTATTTTATTTTCTGCTAAAAAAAATAGGGTCAGCACCAGAATTCAAGGGTCGGTTGGTAATCAGAACCACAACATTTTTTTTAGGCCTTACTAATGACCTGTGCACTGTAATCATCATTTCATACACAAGCTGAGCCTCTCAAATTAGATGTTCATGCAACATTTACTACCATGTGCATTTAGGGAAACTTGACTGACTTTATTATACATGAAATAGTCCACTTGAGATTGAAACCCTGCATATTTTAACAGTGTTCCAAGCTAATGGTGTATTGATATCGGTTTCAGTATATATATGATTGTAAGAAAACCAAAGGGACCACTAATTTTGTTGTAGTATAACTGAATTTGTTACACACATTTCAGATAAAATATACAGCTCGTGGCTGATACAAAGCTATTAATTTGTTGTATTCATGCGTCAGTTCATTATAACTGTGCTTGTTACAAACATGGTCCCCGACCGCATCATACCCAAAAACGTTAAAATATGGTACTTGTTGGTTCCTGCCTGGCGCTCGGCATTAATGGGTACAACAAGGACTGGTCGGCTCGGAGTCAGTATAATGTGTCTGAGTGGGGTATTCATGCTTCACTGTGGCATGGTATCTCAGTGGGCTAGCACTATAAAACCAGCTTAAGTCTGGGCTAGTACAAGCAGCCGCATATACACACATACACACGCATGCACGAAATATTCTGAAGCACGACGTTAAACCCAATTTCACCTCACCTCACAAACATGGTTTACTGTATGTTTGTTGAAAAACATGTGAATAATAACAGAAACATGTTCAATAATTGTCTTATGCACTTTCCCTTTCTGGGGCGGTGTGGTAGCCTAGTGGTTGAAGCGTTCGCTCGTCATGCCGAAGACCCGGGTTCGATTCCCCGCATGGGTACAATGTGTGAAGCCCATTTCTGGTGTCTCCTGCCATGATATTGCTGGAATATTGCTAAAACAGTAAAGGCGGCGTAAAACTAAATTCACTCACACTCCCTTTCATGCCTAGCCTATATTTTTTGCTCTACAGTATCAAATCTCAGAAATTGAAAAAAAGTTAATTTCAAACTTAACTTGTTGGAAAAGACTCGACTGGCAATATTCCAGCAATATCACAGCGGGGGACACCAGAAATGGACTTCACTCATTGTACCCATGTGGGGATTCGAACCCGGGTCTTCGGCATGACGAGCCAACGCTTTAACCACTAGACTACCCCACCGCCCCTTGTTGGAAAAGAAAGAATGTCAACTTGTGAAAGAAAAACGATACTTTTGCACCCTTAGTATTGCCGCATACAGTAACCCAACGGTATCATTACTCTTCTATTCCTAACCATGCTCACCTCTCATCATTGCTAATTGTATTTCTGTTTTCAGTATATGCATGAAAGGAATATACTACACAGAGATCTGAAGACACAGAATATATTCTTAACCAAGAGTAAAATAATCAAAGTAGGAGATCTTGGAATAGCAAGGTTAGTACTGATTTCTTACATTTGAAAGATGTGGTGGGTTAGCCTAGTGGTTAAAGCGTTTGCTCGTCACGCCGAAGTCCTGGGTTCGATTCCCAACATGGGTACAATGTGTTAATCCCATTTCTGGTGTCTCCAGGTGTGATATTGTTGGAATATTGCTAAAAGGGGCATAACACTAAACTCATTCACCCATAAAAAATGTCCAGTATGTCCAGGGTTCAAACAGTCAAGAGCACATTTACATTAAGGTTATGAAAGGATTTATGGGGTTCAAACATCTGGCGATTCCAAAGAATGTTCGTCCCAAGCAACTCATACACATCACCATTTGGGATTCGAGGTAGGAATAAAAGTCCAAGCCACTCTATGTCATGAGAGGTGATTGAACATGTTAAATGGATTGATTGGTTTGGCTTTATCCGTTTGATTCACTTCATCCATTACCATTTTTATGGATCAATGCCCAAGCTATCAGGTGTCACTTGGGGTGGTAGGGTAGCCTAGTGGTTAAAGTGTTCACTTGTCCCACAGAAGATCCAGTTCAATTCCCCACATGGGTACAATGTGTGAAGCCCATTTCTGGTGTGTTCCTGCATGATATGGTTGAAATATTGCAAAAGCAATATAGAACCATACTCACTTACTGTCTATATCTGGATGTCCTGATTCAGATATTCGTATAGCTGCAATATTGCTGAGTGTAGAATTAAGCAACAAATGTGGCTGAAGCCATCCTTTTAGAAACCAGTTGGACTTGAACCCATGACCTTTCCTTCCATACTTGTTTGACTGTATGTTTCAGGGGTGGAAATAACCCATTGTCTGACGTCCGAGTCCAGTATTATTCCGTCGGGCAAGCAAATTTGTATATCACGCTGTACCAGTGTCCAGTTGACTTTCCAATGTTAATAATGTTGTTTATTTAAAAAATCAACAAGAACACAGACGGTATAGTGGAAAACTTATCAGGTCAAGTGATTTTACATGTGCCACTGTACCGAAGTACATTAGCAATTTTAAAGTTATTTTCACCCCTGTGTTTTTACATACACCACCACTTTCCCTTCAGCCAAAATCATTTTGAAAATGAACTTCCCTCTTTAAAAATTCCTTACTGGCAAACAAGGATAAGTTGGACCGATGCAGAGAACGCGGTTACGAGAAGTAGGCGGTGCACGGCAATGAGCAAACCCATTTGGTTTGTGAAAGGTAGAGATGTAGGCTAGTGCACATACATTGCATGAAGATGAAATTGAATCCACGCATAGCTGCACACGCCTTGCTCATAAGACTCACATCGGTGTAGCAAGTCGCATTACACTTTATCGCGGACAACCTGGGGCCCTTCGCTAACAATGGCAAGCGCAAGTGGGCGGCGCTCATACACGGTAATACGGGTCAATCGTCAGGTCGGTGCTCAACTTTTACTTGTTTGACAGTAATTGCTTGATGAGAAGAGTTGATTATTTTTTGGCCAGTACCACATATACGATATAGCTGGAATATTGCTGTATGCAGTGTGAAGCAAAAAGCAAATTAGCATCTACGTATGTATTTTGGGTGAATATTGTTTTGTTTGTCTTTCAGAGTGCTAGATAGTTCGAATGATATGGCAACAACGCTGATAGGGACCCCCTACTATATGAGCCCCGAGCTGTTCTCCAATAAACCGTACAACCACAAGGTAATACACCAGGGTCCCATTCAGCAGGACAGTCTAGGACAATTGTACTTTTGTAGCTTCCATGCTATAACACAAATTTGTTTGATTCAGCAAAATGGTCTTAGTCACTATTTGTGGCTCCAATACTTTAAGTTTAACACAAGGTGGGAGGAAGGATACCTCCCATCAAATATATATTGTAATTGTTCCATTCAGCAAAATAATCTTAACTTTTTAAGAAGCATTTTAAAGTTGGAGAACTAAGGAAAGATAACAATGTATGGATGAACAACTTCTTTATTACGATGAGAGCGACGTTTCGGTGGAGGTTCTAACATCGTTACATTGATAACATTGTTAGAACCAACACCGAAACATCGCACATGAACAGATAGTACATCACATCATTGGGAGGATGAGAATTGTTAAGACTACCATTTCTACCAAATGTAATCTATAAGTAGCAAGACAGCCTCTGTGCTCTAATGGATGGCATTTGCCTGGGGAGCGGTTGTACTGTCCCCTGCCCACGTCACACCAAACAACGTTTAATGATAGAACTTTTTGTTACCCTGCCTTTGCTTGGCACTAAGGAGAAAATCAAGGTTTGTTTTGCAGGGAGTGATGACTATGTGTCCGAGCTGGATATTCAGGTTAAAATGCAGGGCCAAGATTTTCAAAGCTCTCTTAGCACTAAGACAGTCGTAAATTAATGTTAATGTATGGCATTTACGACTATCTTAGAGAGCTTCGAAAATCTAGGCCCAGAATGGTATCAATGAGCACTATAAACATGATGAAAGAAGCACATGTCCAAACACACAGGCTCAAGCAAGATGTTGTTTAAGTTATATGATCTTTCATCTTCGTTTCATCTCACATGTAACAGATTCTACTTTGTTGCTTCAGTCTGACGTGTGGGCCCTGGGTTGCTGTGTGTACGAGATGGCCACTCTAAAACATGCCTTCAATGCCAAAGACATGAACTCACTGGTGTATAAGATCCTTCGGGGCAAGGTAAGAAAAGATAGCACATCCAGATAGATATGTTATGTGAGTTAGTATTGATATGTTTCCCAATCTGAGACTTGACCAGCTAGTCTGAAGCAGGACTCGAAAAAATAAAAAAAATCTGGGCTTTCGCCCAGTAGGGCTAGGCATATGAACTTTCCCTACTTTCCCCTATAGATCATGCATACAATGAACTTTCCACTTCGTTCTTGGAAACAAACTAAAATTGTACTTTGCCTATTTGAGATTAGTTCACCATTTAAATTTAGCAGCTTCACAAAAAGAAAATGTTATAAATTTAATTTATTTTATTTCAAAATGTTTTGCTTGGAGCTAAGGAAACTTTTACATGTTCATAAACATCACTTACTTCCTACAAGCCTTCTGATACACAAGATCTTTGACAAAATTGAATTATTCTCCTGCAAGGATTATGCAGTAAGTTATACCACTTTATGGAGTAAGTTATTACCTTGCTGTATCGTAGCTTCAAGGGTTTACAATCCCATGCAGAAGTGGATTACTGACATTACTTTTCCGACACTTGTGTTTGCAGAGAAATATGTTGGATTACGAGGATGTTGAATTAATGTATTTGTGTGACAATGTATAAATGTCATGATCTACTGTTGCATGCATATCAGAAATGGCAGACCTAATTATCTTCATTGTATGTAAAAATATTCACATATCACCGCCAAAACAGTACTGTAATTACACCATGTGATTGTTTATCCGACCGATTGTGTTGATTGTCGGATTAATTAATAGTTTTACAATGTGTTTACAATAACCGACTGCTAGATTGGTAAGTCCGAGAATGAAATTATCACTGTTTTAAATGGTTCCTAAGTGTTAACAGGGATTAATGAGAGCTGACTGTATATCCTTTTTAGATGCCGGCTATCCAGTACTGCACCGAGCTCCGTGTCGTTATAAACTGATGCTGCACCAGGATCCAGAGATATTACAGGATATTCCCTACATAGAAGATACAATATTTCTAGAAGAAGGTAGATATGCTTTATGAAGTTCTTACAGCAATTGTTTTGCTTTCATTTATTTGCACATGATGACAATGTATGACCCTCAAAGATGATCATGATAAATCTCGGAATCTTATAATAGATTAAGACCTGTGAAGATCTGGGTTAGAAATTGGTCTTCAGCGATCCATGCTTGTCGTAAGAGGTGATTAATGGGATTGGATGGTCAGGCTTGCTAACTTGGTTGACACAAACAAACAAAATAGATTTATATCAATTAATTTTCTTAAGACAAAATTGTGTATGAAGTTTCATGATGTTCAAAATAATGGAAGAACTTATTCAAAAGCTTCAGTTGTGATTGAGCTATTGTTGTTGCTGTTGATTCTGAGCCAGGATTCATTAGCCATTCTGAACATGCATTTTAACCTGATGTACCTAAAAGCCATGACACAGAATTAAGCATAATCATTAATAAAGGGTCAAATGACAAATAGTACATGTAAAGAAAAGTTTCTCAGAAATAATAGAACTAAGAGTGTCATCATAATGTTTAATGTGTTGACAAACGTGATACATCGTGACATACAGACAAAATGTTCAAACAGAACTAGCAAACATCAGTTGTGTAGACCAACCCCCAAATGAAAATGACAAACATGAAGCACTCGGTCATTCAATATCTTGTCTGCCCTCCTCGCATGTTCAAGACACAGGTGCACCTTGTTCTCATGCTCCTTAACAAGTTCATAAAGAATCGCATTCCATTCCTCTACTAGAGCTCTGCGGAGTCCTGGGATATCCACTGGTGCTGGGTGGCATGTGTACACCCGTTGACCGAGTTCATCCCAGGCATGCTCAATTGGGTTGAGGTCTGGCAAGCATGCTGGCCACTCCATCTGCTCCACGCCCTGCTGCCTAAGGAATTCCGTGACTATCCTAACCCTATGAGGTCTAGTGTTGTCGTTTTGTGGTAAAGAGGGTCCACCATCAAAGCCATGAATAGCTTGCAGGAATGATACTGCTATAGGAGCCAAAATCTCATCCCGATAATGATGTCCGGTAAGATTACCGTCGACCACATGCAGTGGAGCACGCCCAGTAGGATTTTTTCTCGCCCAAACCATGACCGACCCCCTGCCAAATCGGTTATGCGTGGCCACAGTTGCCTCTGTGATTCGCTCTCCATTGCGACGATAAATCCTCTGCTGACCACCACGGAAGGACAAATTGAATCTGCTTTCATCTGTGAAGAGCATACAAGACCATCTCAAACGTGCCTGCCTGTGACATGGTGTTAGTGGTTGACAAACTGCAGTTGCCTACAGCGGAGTCTGCGTGCCCTTTTAGAACGTCGACGAACGGTGCTCCTGGACATCCTTACATTGTTAACATTGAAGTTTTCTGTCTGAAGATCTGCTGCGTTAAGGAATCTGTTATGTAATGCAGTGTTAATCATGTGCCTATCATCTCAGACTGTTGTGACTCTGGTACGACCTTGCCCACGTGCATATTCTACTGACCCAATGGCTTGAAACCTCTGCCTCAGTCTACCAATAGCACTTTTACTCTCATTAAAGCAGACAGCAACCTGCTACCTAGTTTGACCAGATTCCAAAATAGCCTATAGCTTTTGAGTAAAAGTGTTACCAATAGCTTGACCCTTCATTAATGGCCTTGGTATATAACATGAATCAGCAGGTTCAAGGGATATCTCTATTTTGAAAAGGAAGATTTCAGCAGTATTCAGTTAGGCTATTTTATTTACCCCTTTTCTGATATGCAGCTGTTACGTGTTGAAGTTGAAACTTAAAGGTTAATGTAACTGCAAGGTTCTTAGCGGTTGACAGTTTGATACATGGGAGTTAGCTTGTGTACGGATGCTTGAAGCGAGCGGAAAATATGAGTGTGATGTGGTTTGCGAATTTCCAAGTCATGGTGTACTCTGATACAGCATAATGTTGCACGTACTTTATAGTCAGTAGCACTAACAGAGCCAGCACGAACGGGTCAAACGTTGAAGTCTGTGTCGTTACGATTGCGAGACTGTTTGCCCGTGAGGGAATTGAACTTTGGACTGCGATGATGAAATGCGAAATACAAATTGACTGGAATCTGGCCTCTCCTGTTGTTCTTCGATCTTGGAAACATTACAGTTAACCTGAAATCAGCCTGTAAAATTACTAGGCGTGAAACCAACAAACAACTATGATGTAATTAACAAATTATGTAATCTAAAATGAACTACATTCAGAAATGAATACAAATCACTGCAAGGGTATCACTATGGCAGTACGACCTAGAGTGGCAGTACAAATTCATCACTAATATGACACAGGGATTTACAGGACGCGAATTCCTGCGTCCTATACGCATAAAAATTGACAACAGACGCAAGGAAATTGATTAACGCGTCCACAGGGATGCAGAAAAAGTCCAAATACTTTTTGTAAAAATTTCGATCCAGTAACAATAAGTTATGTACTATGTCTGCTACTAGCCAGGTTATGGTATCTTTCGCAATTTAATTGCCGTAACAATGTGATGATCATGATACACAATACAATAACAGTAACTGAATTACAACAATATTACAACATAGTAATAATAATAATATTTAGGTGTCTGGGACCCCAATTTCATAATCCAGGGCCCTTGAAAATTAAGAGTATGAGTCCCAGGGACCCTCAAAGACAGGACTCGAGGTAAATCCCCGATGATAATATTCAACTCACAACAATGGTCCAGTATCCAAAATAGGCCTAGGCTGAGTATCCAGTGTAAGAATAATCTCCACACAATTGCTGGTCTTTTTGTAACTTGAGAAGTAATGTTAGAGCAAAGGCAAGAGTTAGCTCCCCTTATATACCTCCATTCTCTACAATGCTTTCTGAGGTAGTTGGCAGTGTAGGAAAGATAGCCCGTCCCAACGTCCGAGACGGATGAATTTTGTGGAGGACGGGTTAAAAAAATATCTAGTCCGTCCTCATGTCTGGTCAATTTTAACAAACCAATGACATACATATAATGATTATAACCTTTTTGAACATTTACTGCCGAAGGTTTTTATATTTATATTTGGAGGACAGGCTAGATTTTGGCAGGACTGGTAAAAAATTTGACCTGCCAGTCCTGTGGACAGGCTAGATTTTCTACATCTTTCCTACACTGTAGTTGGCCCTGGACAGCATAGTGCAGTACTTTCCAGATCTAAATATAGTACACCACTGCCCCTTATAGAATGTACATGTACAATGCTTTACACTGATTACACATTGATACACAATGAATAGCACTGCCAACACTGCCACGTGACATAATATTTATATATCCACCATATGCCCTGCCTGGCACTCGGCATTAATGGGTACATCAAGGACTGGTCGGCTCGGAGTCAGTATACTGTGTCTGAGTGGGGTATTCATGCTTCACTGCGGCATGGTATCTCAGTGGGCTAGCACTATAAAACCAGCTTAAGTCTGGGCTAGTACAAGCAGCCACACATACACATACACACGCATGCACGTCATCATATGAGCCAAATATTCTCAAGCACGACGTTAAACCCAATTTCACCTCACCTCACCTTATATCCAACATGACCCAACGTGAGACACAGAGGTGATATGATTGTTAAAAGATATGAAAGATATGTGAATTAAGCAATTAAAATTCAAACTAAACAGAATTAACCCTTGGAAAGCTGCTTAAACAAAAGGTCATCCTGACTTATGATTCCATCTGCAGTAGTCGGCCCTCCCTCCATTCAAGACCTCCGTCTGCCTCCAGTACTAGACCAAACTCTGCCTCCTCCAGTCGACCCGTCATCTGCCGAAGTCCGTGTCAGCCGTTGCCACCTTCCAATAGTAGTCGACCGTCACTTGTGTCGCGGGATGCTAACAGCAAACCACCTGTGGCAATCAGAGACAACATTGACAGCAGGCCTACCCCTGCTGGAAGGGACTACATCGACAGCAGACCACCTCCACCTCAACCTGCGGAGAGGGACAATGTCGAAGGTAGACTACCTCCTGCAGCAAGGGACATCGAAAGTAGACCACCTGTCAGTATACCAGTGGAAGGTGAGCCAGAATGTTAATAATCGTTTGATAATTTCCTTGTCACATTTGTAGCATATGTTTTTCAGGTATTTGAAAATGTCTTGTTTGTGGCCATACTTAAATAAGGCAGAGCTTATCTTCATAATAAACCAACTTCACTTCTCCTTTGTGAGTGAGTTTGATTTTTTGCTGCTATTAGCCAATATTCCAGCAATATCATGGCGAGGCACATCAGAAAAGGGCTTCACACATTGTACCCATGTGGGGATTCGAACCCGGGTCTTCGGTGTGACGAGCCAACGCTTTAACCATTAGGCTACCTCACGGCCCCTCTCTTTTGTGAGTGAGTTTGATTTTACGCCGCTTTTAGCCAATATTCCAGCAATATCATGGCGGGGGACATCAGAAATGGGCTTCACACCTTGAACCCATGAGTGGAATCGAACCCGGGTCTTTGGCACGACACTTTAACCACTGGACTACCACACTGCCCCCACTTCTCTTGGAATAGCTTTAGTAATTCAAGATTTGTAAAACTTTACTGACTCAGTAAATCAGAAAAGTGTCTCATTCCAAGAGTCTGTAGATTTGCTTGTGTCAGGAAAACAAGTGATTGATAGTATGAGCAAAACTGTGATACACTAAAGTTTGATCATCATAACAAGTAGAGGTTATAGAGGATGTATTCTGCTTTGAATAGCAATGGGAGCTTCACAGTTGTTTGATCTTTTTGTGCAATGATTGGCATCCTATTGGTGTAGCAATTTAAACATTTCTTGCTGTCCTTTAAGATGACAGAGGTGCTGGTGATGCTCCGGTTGTATTGGAAAGGAAATCAAGTCACAGTCGTAAACCCTCTGACGCAGGTCGTCCTGACCTCGAGCCCATCCATGAGAAACATGAGGTACCAAGCATGCATTCGTCATCGGGATCATCGGAGTCACATGACACAGTCATACCTCAAACAGTCAAACAGGTAGGTGATAACAATGATCTGTTGTAGTTATCCTCACAGTTATCAGAGCTGCATGATGACATCACACCTCTGTGAAATAGGTAAGGGATAACAGTTATGTACTGAGTTATCCCAGGGATGGTAATTTTCCACTGATCCACAGATTTCCGCCGATTTTATTTCAAATTGATCAATTCTGTGTGTCGTCTAAATCCGTTGAGAAACCCTGAACGATGACACAATATTAAATTTTCAGCTAAAAATAGATATTTTTCCTTATCCTGACTCATGCTCTTTTTGCTTGTCTTCTTCTTCTTGCGAACATAGTGGAACACTTGTATCTCCCTAATTGAAGCTCCCTTCAATGTAAAATCACTAATTAGTACTCAGCACGAGTTACCTCCCTTCCACAAGCGCGGGAACGAGGGCGCCACCTCCACCCATGTGCCTCACTCTCTCCTTCTTCGCCCAGTGAGCTGGACGTGAGAGCACCTGTGTCTCCCGACACACTATATCCTTTGATTATATTTAGTTAGTTACCTCGTATAGACATCTATAGAGGTTTAGCTAGTATCCTTCAACAATTATATATTGATATTTAGTCGTGTTTCTACTGTTTATTCACGGGACGCCGTGTTTGTTTCAGTGGATTACGTTGATAAAAATTCTGTTCTGTTGCAGATTACGTTTTTTATTCTGCTGCTGATCCGCGCATTTAATATGCCCTAGTTGTACTGCGCCATGTTCATTTTATTCACGCGTTGCAGTTGCGGTACTAATTTATCCATTTCTGCCTTTAATAAATAATTACTTTGCGTTTGAGGCGCGCAGCAGATAGGTCGCGTATGCAGAGTCTAGCCATGACTGAGACACCTGAACCCTCGCCAGTCTACTGCTGTTGGTTGACCCCGCTCCGTCTGGTGTTCCGCTAGAGTGGTGGAGAGAGGCGTGGGGCGTAGTCCGCCGCCTCAAGAAGAAGTGTCCTGCTTCCCCAGACATCCCATCGTTAGCAGCCGAAGACTAGAGTTTTTCTACTGCATCTCAACGCGACCTCTGAGGGAAATCAACGAAGTCTACTTGAACTTTCTCAGCCGGAGATTGTTCCCGTCGCAGATTTGGGCCTGTATGATCATCAGCCCGATCATCATACCTGATGTACATCAAAGAATGACCGATGTCGGCAACAGTGATGTCAGCGCAGATCAACATGCAGCCTGATGTACCAACGCTGATATTCTATGATCTTCCTGAGGGTCCGCCGCTACCAACACTCAGCGCAGACTTCGCGCACCCCAGGGCAGCGTCGACCTCTGAGGGGAAATCAACGAAGTCTACTAGGACTTTCTCAACGAGATTGTTCCAGCCGCTGAACTGGGCCTCTACGATGATCAGCTGATCATCATTCCCGACGTCGCCATAAGAAGCGACGGAGGCAGCTACAGTGACATCAGCAGAGATAAGCCATGCAGCCTGATGTCTCTACACTGGCGTCCAGGCGACTTCACTGAGGGTCCCGCCGCTAACATCGCAGAGAGGGCACCGACTAATTGTCGCAGACCATCCCAGATGAACTGTTGCGGCAAATCATGATCATGATGGAGGCCACCACAGACTGGGAAGCAGCCAGCCCAAGGCCGAGCCTTGAAGGTTCCAACGCGAGACGACACCCCAGAGGCACCCCCATCAGCGTAGCAGCCACGCGAAGCCACCTTCGGCGAAGGAAGTCGCCAGACCACCTCCCGCGAAGGACCCAGATGTACAGCCTTCGCGAAGGCCTTGGGCGGGATAGATCATCACATTCCTCGGCTTCATCCCTAGATGCGGACTCAGACCGTCCAGACCTCACGGAAGCCTTCCAGCGAAGGTCAAATCGCCGTTCCCCAGGACCGACGCAGAGGAAGCTTAAGGCCTTCGCCAGCGAAGCCTTCGCGAGACACCTGACTACACGAGCTTCGCGAAGCTATCAACATTCTCCTCACAGGTCTCCGAGAAGGTCAGCGCGATAGACGCAGTTCACCAACACGATCTCCGCGCCCGTTAACCGCGTGCCCGTCTCCTGCGCACATCACCACGTCGATCGTCTCACAGGTCACCACACAAGTCTGCACACAAGTCTACAGTCAGGTCTCCCCGGCGTCACCCGACATAGAGATAGAAATACACAGTCCACCATCAGAAGAGCATCAACCTCTCATCAGTGATGCTGGGATAGAAAATGATGGAGGCATCATTTTCTCAGGCGCTGAGATACGATATTGGATGGTAAACAACCTAGATCTCTCTTCACCTTCCAAGAGTGGCAACTCGGGCAGACATACCTGATAAAGGAAGGCGAGGCAGGCGCCATCACCTTACCTCCAATCGACTTCGATTGCTGCGGTGCCACAGTATGTGGACACAGCCTACCATAAAGCCATAACAGTTCAAGCGCCAGAGGCGTATGTTGTTGGCATTAATAGATCTAGAACGATCAATGAGATTCTTATCACCAGATTTCGTGACCACGACTTCTGAAGATGATAGGATGATCTACCGGCTCTACTTATGCAGAACCAGCAAGAACCACACCCTGTACGAAGCTAACGCTCATATATTGATCGATTTCTCGACACTTCGCCTAGGAAGTCCCAGGCCACCTCCGCGAAGGAGCTAGAGCCTCACCAGTTACGCTCACCAGCGGCGTAAAACAATACACTCACTCACTCCTGTTGAACACAGAGGTCGTTCGCGAAGCAAGCGCTCATATATTATATATATACTGATCGGGCTCTGACTCAATACCTTCGCGAAGGTCGCGAAGGCTAAGTGGCTCCAAGTCTACCTCACACAGGAAATCTAGATTGGATACTTCGAGAGCTTCGCGAAATCTCCGGCGTCCACCGAGGAATTCTCCTCCAAGGTCTCCATATATTAGCCACTCGTCATATATAGCTACTCGTCAGTCCGTTCAAGACATCGCATAAGTTGTCTATCAACTGTATGCCATATGCCGCGAATCTATAAGCCTACTTACGAAGACAATTGCACAGGCTATTTACAACACAAACGTCGCTATATTAATTAATCAACGGCGTTGCATAGATCTTCACAGAAATCAACCTTTCATTATAGATTGCTAGAATATGCAATCCCGGACTACGATCACGGTATCTACATGCGTGACCATTACGCAGATCTGCAGACAATTCAATATCGAAATTGAACAGCAGCCTTGTTACAGCGGTATAACTCATAATCGTCAAAGTTTCTGAGAAGAAATATGTACAACAAGTTCAGCTTTAATTCTACAATTATGACGATACATTCATGTATACAGTCTACAAGCTGACAACTTGCAAGTTTATTGTACCTTTATATAAGAAAGTCGGAATTATATTCAAAACTGAAGTTACTTTCCGACAGCCAGGAAAATAACCTACCCAGCATTAATATTACAGAGCGGTATTTCGCTACCGGAGGTTTCAGCGTTTACCTTTAACCCTCGAAAACACGTGGTCACTTTCGGGTAACTTCGGAAGCTACGGTGAAGACCGACGATTATGCTAATATCAACGACGGCAACATTTTATACAAGGTTTTTTCCTGCTACACCGGTGACATCACAGCGCGGGTATTCTACAGAATCAAAATGCCTTGTTCTGATTGGACCGCGTTGGACAACGACCTACGCAGAGGTCGATCTTTCTTCACAGGTCAACACTTACGTTACAAGTGACAACTATATTTCAGTGAACGAGCAAGCCTCCTTACAGTCCAGTTAATCTGAACCTTCATGATTGGGCTGCTTTCTTCAGGTTAGAGACCTCCCCTGTCAAGTTAGGACGAGGGCACGGCAGTCAGGCAATTTTACATAAACTTCAACGAGGACAGACACACCTGGTTGTGCACCTACATCGTCAAGGACTTCGCAGCGAATAACCTAGACGACGGGATACAAGTGGATCTAAATCCACAGCGTCTCAGACTACAGCTGAATTTCATAATCAAGCTACTAACACAACTAGATGGTTAGTAAACCTACTTAAACTTTCTGATTGAAGAATTAAAACGGAAGTTTCACCCTCCAACTTGAGGATCTGAATATAGTGCTCCAACACCTCACAAGTGAGGTTTATGAACACGCCTGGATGACATACTTGGACTTTATGATATGATGATTCTATCACGATGGCCAGCAAGAGCACTGTAAATTTATCTCCACCGAACCAAACAGAAGGGAATAATACAACAGATTATTTCCTCTATCATCAACTACGCGAGAATGAAATCTCAATGCGTACTATATCTCCGTTTGGATCAGAACTGTCATACTACGTGCATACAACACGGATTGACCCAATCCGACCCTCCATGAGCTTTTTAATACTCATGATATTAGAGCGCTAACTTCTGCATTGATCTACATAATGTTATTTGAAATAATGGAGGGTTTATTTTCTGGAGATCCGATATGGTGGTTGCCAACCATTATCTGAGAGATATCATCACCGAGGACGTCTCAGGTATCCACCAATTCGATCCCATGGTCCTCGCACTACAGTTGACAGTTCCTCGGAGAAGATAAGTCAATCTCACAGATTTCTACTTATCTTATAACAGTACTAAATAGCTACATGCTATATATAATTTGCTTAAGTTCTTTTTATCATCACAGTACTATGATTATTACATCATACAATATATAAGTTAACAACTCTACAGAGTTGGTTATTATATATTTACCTTAACTTAATTATATCTTAAGCATAGTACTATACTCAGATTGTAAAAATATATAAGCTAACAAACTCTACAGAGTTTGGGCTTTTATATAGGTAGCTTAAGCTTATTCATATCTTAAGCTCAGTACTATGTTTATATCATATAAGTATATTAGCTAACAAACTCTAAAGAGTTTTTGCTATTTGGCTTAAGTCTCATCATATATCTTAAGCAATATGGTTACATTATAACATGTATTAGCTAACAAACTCTACGGAGTTTTTGCTATATGTAACTTAAAGCTTATTCATATCTTAAGCGCAGTACTATGTTTATATCATATAGGTATTTTTAGCTATCAAAACTCTAAAAGTTTTTGCTATTATATATTTGGCTTAAGTTTCATCATAATTTAAGCTTTATGGTTACATTATAACTTGTATTAGCTAACAAACTCTCGGAGTTTTTTTTTTTTTGCTATTATATATGTAGCTTAAGTTTCCTTCAAATCTTAAGCTCAATACTATGTTTTATCATATAAGTATATTAGCTAACAAACTCTACGGAGTTTTGCTATTATATATGTAGCTTAAGTTTTCCTTCATAAACTCAATACTAGGTTTATATCATATAAGTATTTTAGCTAACAAACTCTAAAGGGTTTTTTGCTATTATACAATTAGCTTAAGTTTCATCATATCTTAAGCAGTATGGTTACATTATAAAATGTATTAGCTAACAAAACTCCACAGAGTTTTGCTATTATATATATAGCTTAAGTTTAATTATATCTTAAGCTCAGTACTATGGTTATAACATAAAAGTATATTAGTTAATAAACTCTAAGGAGTTTTTTTTGCTATATACATTTAGCTTAAGTCTAATCTTATCTTAAGCTTAGTACTATGGTTACATTATTAATCTATAAGCTAATAAACTCTACAGAGTTTTGGCTATTATATATGTAGCTTAAGTTAATTATATCTTAAGCACAGTACTATACTCATATTGTAAAATATATTAGCTAACAAACTCTACAGAGTTTTGCTATTATATATGTAGCTAAAGCTTATTCATATCTAAAGCTCAGCATTATATATATATCATATAAGTATATTAACTAACAAACTCTAAAGAGTTTTGCTATTATATAATTAGCTTAAGTTTAATCATATCTTAAGCTTAGTACTATGTTTATATCTTAAAGTATTTTAGCTAACAAACTCTAAGGAGTTTATACTAGCATATTAACAAGCTTAAGTCTATTAGTCTTAAGCATTGTATTAATGTTATATATACTTTATCATAATAAGTACTTTGTAATAACCTTTATATGGCAGCTGATAAGTTAGCAGCAGGAATTCATCAGTTCAGTACCTTTATGAAGTTCCCATAGGGTTATTACAATCATCACAGTTCAAATCACTAATTATTAAAATCCAAAGTATTATATTTTTCCCACCTCCCTTCCATCACGGGTCTACAAGCAAAAAGAGCATGAGTCAGGATAAGGAAAAATATGTAATTTTTAGAGTAAAATTGATATTTTATACTTATCCTGACTCATGAGGTAAGCCCTCCCATCCTCCCCACATAACACTTTGGATTTCCCTGTAAATTCAAATGTTGGGCTCAGTATATGAGGAGAGAGTGAGGCACATGGGTGGAGGTGGCGCCCTCGTTCCCTCGCTTGTGGAAGGGAGGTAACTCGTGCTGAGTACTAATTAGTGATTTTACATTGAAGGGAGCTTCAATTAGGGAGATACAAGTGTTCCACTATGTTCGCAAGAAGAAGAAGACAAGCAAAAAGAGCATGAGTCAGGATAAGTATAAAATATCAATTTTACTCTAAAAATTACATTTTCCTGTTCCCATCCCTGTTATCCTAACAGTTATCAGAGCCAGTTGACACAGTCATTCCTCGGTCTAACAGCTAGAGGATAACAGTTAGATAGGTTATCCTCTCAATTATCAGTCACATGACACCTTCCTCCATGCAGTTTACAGGTTGATGATAAAGACGATATTCTGTGGTTATCCTCACAGTTTTCATGACATCTTGTCCTCCAACACCTGGATGATAACACTCACATACTGTAAGTCACATGCCTTATGAACCGCCGTCGAGTGCAGCATTAATCAACAAACAAATGAAAACACATGACACATGACAATAAAAATATGGAATTTTTAAGTTGAATATTTACCAACTTTCAGCCAAAAAAGTCTCCAAAGAAAGAAAAGGCAAAGAAGGAAAGCTACTTGCGAAGGAAAGTAGACAGTGCTAACAAGTTATCAGGAGAGTCGAAGCCAGAGAGATCCGAGTCTACAGCCAGTGTCAGATCAGTGGCCAGTAACCATAGCGACAGCAGCAGGAGCAGTGTGAGTGATGCTTGCATAAACTACTCTAATATAGGAGGCATGACACCAACTTTCAGTGGACTTAACAATGTTTAAAACTGAGCATGAAAGTCCAGAGGTGTTTATTGTGACTTTTGTGTGAAAAATAGGAGTTCAAGTTTGAAGTAGTACAGAAACAAATGCATTGCTCCAAAGAATGTTTTCACATTTTAGCATCTTGAACAGACTATACATTGTGCAAGGTGCAAGGTTTCATTTTCTAGGACACACATTGACTAAGACAGAGAAAACGTGGTTGCTTTCTTTCTGTTTCATAGTTCCTGTTTCTTCTTCCTCTATGCCAGGGACCGCCTCCGTGGTGAAGTGGTTAGAGCGTCCGCCCGGAGAGCGGAAGGTCGCGGGTTCAAACCCCGACCGCGTCATACAAAAAGATGTTAAAATATGGTACTTGTTGGTCCCTGCCTGGCGCTCGGCATTATTGGGTACAACAAGGACTGGTCGGCTCGGAGTCAGTATAATGTGTCTGAGTGGGGTATTCTTGCTTCACTGCGGCATGGTATCTCAGTGGGCTAGCACTATAAAACCAGCTTAAGTCTGGGCTAGTACAAGCAGCCGCAAATACACATACACATGCATGCACGTCGACATATGAGCGAAATATTCTCAAGCACGACGTTAGACCCAATTTCACCTCACCTCTATGCCTGGTTACTTTAGTTGTAACAATTATGATGGAGAGTGATTGTGATAACAACAATCTTCTATAAAGCTTGATAGACATAAGTTCTACAAATAACTGGCTCTTTGAAGAATGTTTTCTTGTTTTACTTTTGTACTCAAACAAATTCAGTATATATATTTCCCCTTACTGTAGCTTCATATTTCAAAGAGAAATTCGTGAAAGACAATTAGGGACTGTTCATAATTTATTGCTTGGGGGGATGTTGATGTTTGTTATGGAGAAGCATGTACAATGTGACTGACTCCCCTAAAATGTATGTACAAAGTAAGTGACCCCCAACCCCACCCCTGCATGCCATGTACAATATCAATTATCCCCCTCCCCTTCCCATAGTTTTTAGCATAATTTTTTATATATTTTTATGTACAAAATTGATGACCCCCACCCCACCCCAGTACATGTGTACAAAATTGATAACCCCCTACCTCCACAGAACAAAATGGGTGACCATTCCTTACAATCATCATCTTCCCCCCTAGCCATGAATTATGAATGGTCCCTTAATGTGTTTGGAACTGTTGTATAATGTTTGTGGCCTTCTTCTGATGGGTTATAGCTAAAGACTCAAAGTTTTTAAACCACCAGTAAGATGTGGCCACAACAGGATATGTATGTGTCATTGACTGGGGCACCAGGATCTGCTGTCTATCAATGAGAATCCTATGATTCTTGTTGTTTTGACACCATAGCCATGCTCAAATGATTCAGTGGATATTTTCCATTGTTTTTGCTTGTTATCATATTTGAGAATGTTCAAGAGATGATTATGTCCTATGTTATATTTTAAATTGTAACTGCGATATCTGTTGCTATGAAATAGTCAATATCAGGTACCATCATTGAATTTTGCCTTGTCCTCAGTAAGGTTTAGTGGTCTGGGGCTAGCAGCCTTGCATCAATTCCAAAGTCGGATAGCTATGCAATGATTGATGATAAATTATCCTTTGAAGCATCTTGATATAAACCACATCCTCATCGTAGTGATGTTGCTGTAGATAACGCCACGGGCCACTGCCAGTGCCAAAGGTGGAGGAGAGCTCAGGGCTTCCCCAGAAGAGGGAGGACTTGAGACGGAAGGAGGACAAGTCCTCAAGCTCGTCCTCCAAGTCCTCCAGTGTATCCAGCTCCAAGGAGGACAATGCCAATATAGGAGATCTTGAAACTCCCAGGGTTAGAAGCTAACTGTTGTCTTGCTGTAGAAAATGGCGATAGTTGAACCTTTTAGCTGTATGTGGATCTACAGGACTTAAATGTTACATTAACTTGTCATTAAACCTGTTTGTATAATATTGGGCCATTAAGTTTTAAGTTTGATGGAATATCGTTAATCTGTCATTACATCTAGCATGCATGATAATGAGTTAATACACTGATAAAACACAGAGGCTCATAGGAAACTTTCTGTTTTGCACCGTTGATTATTGAGCCAATTTACATGAATAGTTGACAATCTTCTAAAAGCCATGTTGAAGAAGCATTGAGACTACAGTTCAAAAAGAATTAATTGATCTTGAATTTAGTGTTGCTGGATAGTATGTGCTTTTACGTGTCTCAAGTGGATTATTGCATGTGCACATGCATTATGGGTCTGATACACTGAGGTAGCCTAGTTGTTAAAGCATTGGCTCGTAATGCCAAAGTACCCAGGTTCGATTGCCCACATGGGTACATTGTGTGAAGCCCATTTCGGGTGTCCCCTGTCGTGATATTGCTGCAATATTGCAAAAAGCGGCGTAAAACCATACTCACTCACTCACTCACTGATGCACTGGCAAACATCCACCTTAGCAATACATGTGCATCTGGTGGTGTATGGTCCTGTGCATAGAGTGCAAGTCACAAATCAGGTGACTTAAGCAACATTGGTCTCGGAGAGTCCTTGTATGGGTGACCGTGTTTGGCAGCTTGACTCCTGAGAGTTTCTAGGATTTCAGTCCTGCCCCACAATGAAACACACACATGGTCTCAACTTAATCAAGTTAGTTTGTTCAAAACTGCCTCAGTTCACCCAGAAAAAAATGGGTACCCAGTGGTATAAGTCATATGACTATTGACCTAGCGCCCCACAGGCAGCTTTTCATGTTGTATGCGCTTAGAGCATGTCAATGCAGCGTGGAGTTCAGCGCTATTTTAGCAGCAAATTATTATTATTATTATTGGTTACACAACTTTGATCATTTCAGAGTTTACCCAACTTATCAGCTCGTGAGAGAAGAAGACAAAAGAACCCAGCAGCTGTTTGTAAGTCACCTTCTCTCCCATGCTTAGTATTTGTTTGTACACTTCTTGTTCCTGGTTGATGCTTATTACCATAAAGTTTAGCATTGCTCATTGTCACTGGTTTCATGGGCATGACTTGATATTTACATGTCGCTGGATATGGCTGACTGTGGCGTTGCTGTTACGTACATTCAAGCGTGAATAAACCTACTTGGTCGCAAGTTGGAGTTAGTCCCCACATCCTTTGCTTGGTGTAGGAGGGTCTTTCACTCGTATAGGGGGCAATGGGGTAGCCTAGTGGTAAAAGTATTTGCTTGCCACGCCGAAGACCCGGGTTTGATTCCCCACATGGGTACAATATGTGAAGCCCATTTCAGGTGTCCACCGTCATGATATTTCTTGAATATTGCTAAAAGCAGCATAAAACTAAACTCAATCAATCAATCAATCAATCTTATACCAATGGTGTGGATGGTTGCTCACAACACTGATCACTGGATTTTCTGATCAAGACTCAGTTGTTTACAGGCCACCATCATATATATATCTGTAATATTGCTTCTTGTGGCATTAAACAACTAAAGGTTATATTATTTCCACCTCATTACTGAACTTAATGCACAGTCATAGTGATTTTTATTGAATATGTTCATGATATCTGATGCTCATGATGCTGATCACTGGATTGTCTGGTCCAGACTCAATTATGTACAGACCGCCACCATATAACTGGAATATTGCTGAGTGTGGCGTTATACAACCAGCCAACCAACCAGCCAACGATATCTGATAGCAACAATTACATGTTATAACGTGTCATGTTTCAGCTCTAGAGCAACCAAAGTCAGCAAGGATCCGATTGGTTGAGAGAAGGTCATCTGACAGGGTTACTAAGTCAGAAAAGAGGAAGGTATATACAAACAAGAGAATACCTTGTGTTATTATTTCAAGACTGCATTATTTGATAACTCATTTTTACTTTCACTTCCACGTTCCCTGAGAGGCTTGGTGAAAGATCCTTCTGATGTGTCCTGTAACGGGAAGTCCTCAGATCTATTGCATATCAGTAGACTGCTCTGAAATCTAAGAATTGGCTGTCTTATAACTTCCTGTAGTCTCACCAAGCTGCCTTCTTTGTAGGAGGTCCCAGTGAGGTCGAGGCCTCTCCCAAAGAAGCCGCCCCGCCAGCCATCTATTGATGCAGAGTCCAGCAGCTCCTCGGAAGAGTTGACCCGGTCCATAGAAAGTGACACCAAGGATAAGGAGAAGCGAAGGTATGGTCAACACAATGTGTATCAGAATTCTGTACATACACTGTTGTCTGAGTATGGGAGCCTTGAGCATTTGTTGAGGCCCACCTGGCTCAGATCTGTGGACGATGAATCTGTCAGCACCTGTCAGACCTTGCATAAGCAAATCATACCAGAACTTTTTATCTCCAAAAAGAAGATCTAGAATCTTGTGGGAATGTTACAACTTGTCCTTTGTGTCACATCTTTCAATCCATGACAGAAGACTTTCATTCAGATATGATTACTTTTCTCCCAAAAGGGAGATTGGGATTGCAAACAATTGTACAGTTCATGCATAATAATAAGAATTGGCACATATTAAAAGAAATGCAGTAAGAGGACTAAATACATCATAGTTCGTTCAATTGTTCATTTGTTTGTTCACCCATTTATTCATATAAAATACTTAGTGTTTTAATTCCTCCCAAAACATTCTGATTATGTTTGATGTGAACTAGTTAAATCATGCACTTGTTTATGGCTACATCAAGGCAGGTTATATTGAATTTATGGCCCAATGTGATTAACCATGGCCATTCAATAGTAATTCCCCCAAAATGTTAAAAGAATCTGCTTGTTGCAACTACTGTAATCGTAGTTATTTTCGCGTGGGATTAATTTTTGCGCTTTTAGCGCAAAACGATCGTGCGTCAATAATCAAACCAAGCGAAATATTCATGATCAAGTCATGACAAATACTCAAGTAGGAACAACATGCAATTTGCTTATTCTCTCAGATAACACAACACAATATATAAAGGAATAGAGGCATATATACTAGTATTAGCGATCACAATCAGCAAATGTTTGTTATCAGTTTGTCAGTTAATTGATAGCTGATTACTCGTAATCACAAAATGAATGAAACTCACTTACATCAGTCTCAAAACACAATGTTGACACAAGTATAATCCCACATCTCTCTGATTGTTTTAGTAAACACGATTCAATTATGGCGTCTAGCTTTGATCATTGCATGTCTATCGGTTGTGAAAACTTTGTGATGGACACCACCACTCAGGCGTTTGAAATGCGCGAAAAAAACTACTGCGCTAATAGGTCTTTTGTGAACTTTCCGCGAAAATTGCACCCCATGAAAATATATACGATTACAGTATGCCTGATACTCAACTGGAAGGGAATAGGACAAGGACTTGTCTGTACACATTTAATTCCTGAGTGGGGTGTCCGTGTTAATCTGCAACATGGTATCTCAGTAGGTTAGCACTATAAGACTAGCCTTTGTCCAACTAGAACAAGCAGCCTCACACAAACACACAAACACAGGGCAATGATCACCGAAGGCCATGGTCTTTGAATAACAGCATGTTGTGATGACATTCTGCTCTCTTAGCTATCTGTCAGTCAATTAACGGTCAATTAACACTGGCTAAACATATACTCATATGTCAAGGTGTGAGTTTTAAACTGTAGTAATATGAGACAACTGGGCTCAACTTCCTTTTTGTTGGTATTTTTGTATCTTACTCAGTTCAAGTTTGGTTGCTTTGTGTTTACTGTCTGTATAAAACCTTTCTTCTCATATTGTTTGTGATCTACTTCCTGTATTTACCTTATGAATTTTTTTTATCTCAAAGTAGTTAATTTCAAAATTATTTTTCTGTATTTTCTATGTTATTTTGTTGCCACAGGTGGCATATTCACTCATTGCTCACTGACAGTGGCGTGAGATGTGACACTGACGACATCTGCCATAGGCATCTGCCATAGGTACTTTTACCAAAGGCAACTGCACTCAGGGGAAAAGGCTTCATGTATAGACGCATGTTGTGCTGTGGACTAAAAAGCATGCATAAATAATTAAGAAAGCTTTGTTTATGTTGCAGATTAATAATTGTGCTATTTGGGCTAGTAACAGCGTCTCCCTCCCACTTCTTCTGTTAACTTAGAAACAATAAGAGTTAAAAAGATTCTTTTGTTTCATCCAGATGTCATCCTGTCATATGTAATATTTTTTTATTGAGTAACTAAAATAGTTCAAGAATATGAAACATTTCCTCAGTTGCCTTAACTGTTTTATGAGTCTGTATATGCCCCATATTCAGGTCGGTGGTAAACAAAAGACTAAATATAAATCCAATTTCAAATAAATGTTTTCTATTTCCTCAAAATATTAAAGAAGGAGAGAAAAAAGTGTCTTGGCTTGATAGGCAACAGTAAATGATTTTATTGAAACACAGTGATAAACACTGCTCTCCATTAAAGCATTTCTCACATTTTGAGTTTGGGGAATATGCAGATTTGTAAATGTATTTTTGAATAATGTGTATCTTTAACAAGAGTTAATGGTGAAGGATACCTTTATTAACCTAAAAGGAATTCAAGCATGCTGTATGTGTGCACTGCTAAAGCTTCCTGCTTGAAGGTACTTACAACAATGCTGATTGGATGCTGTGAAGGTGCTTCTTCTAATCAATATTTCAAATGGCTCTTTTTCCCCATTGCACAAAAATGAGATGTGACAGTAACTCCAATATTCAATATATATTTAGGACAGTTGCACAGCTACAGTGGCTTTGTGGTACAGGGTTCTTGGGCTCTTGGACTCTTGGGCTCTTGGAGTTTGCACATGTAGTATTTAGCAGGGATCCCCTTCATCTGTACGCATACACATACACACGCATGCACGTAGTCATATGAGCGAAATATTCTCAAGCAAGACATTAAACCCGATTTCACCTCACCTCAAGTTCTCTGTAATGTCTGCAAGTCTGCAATGTTTTCTGAGTGATATTGAAAGTAGTTGACCTAAATGTAAGTGTCAGGATACATCTGTGGGTGGGTGATAGACCATCTGTCCAGCAGAGGGATGCTAGTAGTCGAGATGTCACTACAAGGAAGAGCAATCCATAGAATTAGATGCATGTGTGTTTTGAAGGACCTATCAGACCAGTGCACCAGATTTGTGGTAGATATTATAAATATTTATTTCAGCAAGTCTTTTTTTTGTAGGGATTTTGACAAAGTTGTTGATTCAATTCAGGGGATATATTTAACATTCCAAACTATGTACCCGTGACAGCCAAATAGGGAAAATTCAGGATTTTCTCTGTACTAATTGTATATGTTTTTATATATTTTAACATTGCATACAATATAATGATGTAATATTAAATTAAAACTTCTTCCTCTTTTTAATATCAGTAGAATACAAACCACTTCAGCCAAACATATTATCTGCCATCTTCGCAAGACAAGGGAGTTAAATGACTATAAAAGTCAAGTTTACGCCTTTGTTTAGTTAGATTTCATCCATGAATGGTTGGTTTCTGAAACTGGACTGAGTTATGGGAATTGTAAGCCAGAAATTGTCATTCATAAAGTTGTGTGATTTAATTTACTCATCAACTACTAGAATGCCAAGTAAACAGTGTTAATTACACAGGGAAAACAAAGAGATGTCTAACTTCATCTCCCTCCTCGACACCACGCTCAAGATGAACAAGCAAGAGGACAAGTCTGATGATGACAGCAGCGACATTCCCTCTCCCAGCAAAGTCAACGGCAACAACCACCCCGAACCTGAACCTGTGCAGCCAGAACCAGAAGAACCTGTGCACAAATCATCATCGATGCCTAGTGAGTTGTCATGGTTACAGCCTTCATAGTCGGGGTCAAACAATGCTCGGTGTACTGAGTTTTCAAGCTGTGATATGATACACTTATCTGTATCGATACAAGATGATACACATGATAAATTAATACTACTCATATAATGATCAACCTCATCCCCAAATTTGTCAAATATCGTAAAATTAAATGTAATCAGCAATGTGACTAACTCTAATATGTCCAGATAAACATTTGTCAATTATTATTATAGGATATCTATATAGTGCACATATCCACGCAACTAGTACGTGCTCAAGGCAATGATATTTTTTCGCTGGATCTTTGGATGTCAATCTCAACTCCCTGGGGAGCATACAACTCTTGCAGCCACTGGGTGCACCGAGTTATTGCGATTTTCTCATCCTAACGAGGTACCCACTGACAGTTGCGTGGACTAAGACATATAGTCGTAGTACTTTGTCCAAGTGTACTGCACGTTGCTGTACCCGCAACTAGATGTTACCACGTATTCATGTGGCCACCATCTGGTCATATACCAACGGATTCGTGGGTTCTTTTAAATGCACAGGGTTGTGTACTGTACACTAGGGGTTGTGACAACACTGAAAGAGTCTGCACAAAGTTGACTCCAAGGTTATTACACCCAGTCATAGGTGGGTTGATCCCGACACCTCAAGCTCGCTGGATCATTAGCCTGGCTCCTTAGTCAGCTCACCCACCATGCCCACTTTATCAACGCAAGCAAGGAAAACTCACATTTTTCACATTAATTTCTGGATTTGCAATATTTGAATTTTGACCATGATTTGTCAAGTATTTCTGTCATGTAGTAATTGTTTCTGAGTTGATCTTCTTCTGTTTTATTTCCAGGTGTTGAAACACTCACAAGTACAAACAGATTGATGGAAAGAATACGTCTTTTACAAAAGTAAGTCCTGACTAAAAAAGTTTGATTGGGATTTTCAGATGATCCATTTTATATTTCCATTTTAAATTCTACATCTTGCGGGAACCACCTCCATAGTCAAATAGATAGAAGTTCTGTCAAGAGAATGGAAGGTGGGTGGTTCAGTAATAACAAAGTGAGTGTGGTTATACATGATCACGGCGGGGGACACCAGAAATGGGATTCACACATTGTACCCATGTGGGGAATCGGTCTTCAGCATGACAAGCGAACACATCAACCACTAAAAAGTAAATCGATGGTACTTGTTGTTACCCTGGCAGGAACCCTGCATTATATGGATAGGACAAGGACAGGTTGTTAGTATCAGATCTGTTTCTCTTTACTTTCCTTTAAATTTACCTAAATAATATTAACTGGATCAGTAATATATTTATGTTATCAAAAAGGAAAAATATTGACAATGGTCACTGAAAACTCATTGTAGCAGGGCTACAGATAAGGGGCGTACAGGCGTAATGTACGTCAATTAAGTTATCATAATATAAGATTTTTCAGAGAGATCGCCCTTAACATTTATTCTTTTCAGAGAGATCGTCCTACATATTATGCATTTTCCGCTGTAAAATGTCCTGTGACAGTTGTATCAATGTTTTTGAATAAAAAGATTGTACAATAAATAAACTCTTTTATTTATTATAATGGACCCTACCTCACGGAGTTACCTCCCTTTAGCGCGATGCGCACTCAACTGGGTAGGCTCCTAGACCCGTATCATCATTCCTTCTGCTGTCACGGCCCTGAACAGACGCTCGCTGTGATTACCTTTCATGAGCCGCACGGGCGCCAGTATTTTAAGATGTCTGAGACACCACCTGTATGTTTGGTTTTATTTGTCTAAAACAATAACAGTAAAGCCTTACAGTGGTTGTTTCCATAATTGTGACTTTGTATAAGTACTATCAAAATACGCAAACTTTCCCGGTTTACGCAAGTTTGCTCTGCCATGGCGGGAAGTTTAGCGTGCGGCGCTGGTCGTATATTGCGCGCTTAAAACCAACTATTACTTTCCGCGGTAACCTTCACGTAGTTTTTTTTTCAATGTTTTCTACGTGTTTCTCTGCTTCTGGCCACAAGTTAACTAACATGTTTACGGTTTGTTTCAGGCTTTTACCTGTTGTTCGGTCTGTGGGGAAGTATTCCCGGCTGACAGTCACTCCTAATGCGGCCTGTCTGGAGAAGACGGGCCATGTGGCTGATACATGTTCAATTTGTCTGGCCTTTTCCCCGGGCACAGAAGAGGCGGGCGGCGACACCCTGTTTTACCGCGATGCGCGGAGGCGGAGGGGACCTGACGCAGGTTCCCCGCCAAAATCTAAACGGGCGGCCCAAAAAGGAAAAAAATCCCGCGGGCCCCTCTCTCCCTACCACTTCGAGTGGTTTTGACATGTCTATAATGGAGTCGATGTTTCAGAAGCAGATGGACTCAATGAAGTCCTTCGCTCGGGAGTCGGTTGGAGGTCTCCGCCAGGAGTTCCTCACCCACTCCGACGGGGCGGAGAGTCCGGGTGGATCGCCCGCCTCGCTCGATCCTCAGCCTTGAGGCGCCTGTCGATCCGCTGCCTCTGGCTTCGATCCGACGCCTCGGCTGCTCCGGGAGAGGAGGTGCTCCCAGTCCCTCTCTCGAGCTTGCGCTTTGGGCCGCTGAGTATTCCTGGTATTCCGTCCCTGCGCACACCTCGCCTCTTATGAGAGCGGAGGCACCAGTTCTGCCTGGCCTGCCTCCAGCGCCTCGGGACCGGGTCCACGCACGCCGGGCTGGCTTGACGGGGAGCAGTCGGTCTGTTCCTCCCTTCCTGTGGTGCCCAGCGCCAGGCAGTCCACCGGGTCGGGCTAGGGTCCTCTTACGGAGGAGACCCAGCCTCTGACTCGGCCTCGGACGCCGAGCAATGGAGCTTGGGAGGTCGAGGAGCATGACGGCGCTTCCGCTTTGCTTCGCCTTGCGGGAGGTCCGCAGAGAATTGCCGAGGGCCTACCCCAGGCCGCGGTGCCTGCTGGTAGCGGGACTCGACTGAGTTCCGCTTTGCCTGGCGCAGGCGCTTTGCCCCTAGGCAACCCTCACAGACGCAGCTCCGCGATTCTGCCATCGCTTGGTCGCGGGACGGGTCGATCCCTCTTGTCTGGTACCCGAGTCAGGTTTGACTTACCTGAACTCGCGGCGGGCGCTACCAGCTTGGGGAGGATTCCCTGTTCGCCGCACCGATCGCTGACGAAAGTGTGTTTTCACTTCCGCCGCCTCTGGGGAGGCTCGGCTTCCTCCGAGCAGCCCGCTGCTCGGCAAGGGCTTCACTCCACCTTTTGCCCTCGCTGGCGCTTCGCGCACGCCGCATCGACCTACGAGGAGGTCTACCGAACGCTGATGCAGCAGGTGCGGTGGTGGGTCCATGAGGCCTACCTCTCCTCGATAAGAGGAGGTCGGCCCTGGAGGCGAGGGGCATGCTGGCGACGGTCGCCGCGATGTCGTCGCTACTCCGCCAGCTGTCGGAAGTTCAGGCTCACCTCGCTGCGACTCTTTGGCGGTCTGCTGCGCCGACGGTGATGTGCGCAGTCATGGGGATGCGCAGGCTGTGGCTGTCGACGCCTAGGTACTCGGCAGCAACACAGCAGACCTTGCTGGCTCTCCCTTTCCGCCTGGGAGCCACCCTCTTCCCGGGCACAGCAGGTCATACGGGAGGCTGCCGCTGCAGCTACCTCCTTCAAGGATTCTAAGGCCTTGTTGGAGCACCCGCGGGTGTCTCGCCCAGCGCCCCGTGCCACCTTCCTCCTCCGCCGGGTGCAGCCTACACCCGAAGTCTGCCGGGTTGGCTTCGCCGCTGGTAGGGGTAGGCGGAGGAGTAGGTCCGCCAAGGGTAGGGGCAAGGAGCAGTCCTCGACTAGCTCCCAGCCTTTTCATGGGCGCTGGGAGGTCTGCCCCACCTCCCGCTTAACCCAACAGGCTGCCGCCAAGCCGTGTGTCACACCCAGTCAGCTCCGCTACTAGGGTCCACGACGCGCGCTTCCTACCCCATATCCCAGTGGGAGGTCAGCTTCTCTCTATTCCTGCCGGAATGGGAGAAGGCTACCAACAACGCTTTGGGTGCTGGCCACGGTCAGCATAGGCCATCTCCCACTGTGGAAGCGAGGTCCGCCCGCCTTCACCGCATACGACGCGACTCCGGTGCCGCCATGCCAGGCCAGGGCGGACATATTGCGCGACGGTTCAGGCTCTGCTGGACAAGTCCGCAATCGAAGCGATTCCACCGGGAGAGGAACAGGCGGGATTTACTCCACGCACTTCCTCGCCCCCGAAGAAAGACGGCGGTTCCGTCCGATTCTCAACCTCAAGGGGTTGAATCACATGCTCGGCACCATCCTTCAAGATGGAGACACTGCGCCGGTGATCTCATCTGTTCAGCCCGGCGATTGGCTCACGCCAATCGACCTAAAGGATGCGTTTCAGATACCTATACATCCCTCGCTCAAGCAGTACCTCGGTCTCTCTTACGACGGGATGTATTACCAATTCAGGGTGCTCCCCTTCGCATATCGACTGCCCCAAGGGTGTTCACCAAGCTCATGTTAGTCCCAGCTACCCTAGCTCGCTTCGCAAGGAAGGCGCTTGTTACCCTTACCTAGACGACTGGTTGCTCGAGCACTAACACAGCCAGCGAAGTCAAGATGCTACTCACACAGTGATAGACATTCTAACTCGCCTGGGTGGATCATCAACCTCAAGAAATCCGACCTGGTACCCACCCAGGACTTGGTTTTTCTTGGAGCGCGATTCCAAACGAACAAGGATCTCGCTTTCCTTTGTCGCCTCGACCGGGTCACCAGAGTTCGGGAGATGGTATCTTCATTCCTCTCCCAGCCCCAGGCACCAGCACGGACTTGGCTCCGTCTACTGGGCCATATGGCGGCGAATTTATCTCTGTAGTGTGGCGGGCGCGGTTGAGGATGCGTCCCATACAGCAAGCTTTGGCTCGCTGTGGACTCACACGGAGGATCTGGAGCGCAGTCTCACAGTCCCCGAAAGTGGTTGACACCTCACCTTCAGTGGTGGACAAATGTCGGAATCTCACCAGGGGTTCCCTTGGAAATCCCGGACGCCAGCTCTCACAGTTCAGACAGATGCGTCCCTCACGGGCTGGGGCGTTCTGGGCAGTCTGTCGGCTTCCGGACTCTGGTCCGGCCGGGCTCACCTTCACATCAACGTGTTGGAGCTGAGAGCTGTGCGGTTGGTATTCGAGCGCTTCAGAGAGCATGTCCGTGGCCAGGTAGTCCGCCTTCAGTTAGACAACCAGACGGCCATGTCGTACATCCTGAAGCAGGGAGGCACGGTGTCCCCAGCTCCTCCGGAAGCGTGGACTTTCTCCTCTGGAGCCACCAGTACGATTGTCAGGTACTCCCTGTTTATCTCCGGGCTGGAGAACGGCGCGAAGCAGATGCGCCTCTCGCCGGATCCTGGCCCCGCGACGAAAGTGGATGCCTCGACAGGCAGATATTCACAGTAATCTCCCAGTTGTACCGGTCGCTCGAGGTGGATCTGTTTGCGTCCGGCGGGACGCATCAGACACCCGTTCTGCTCTCGGATACCGGACCAGAGGGCGCTGGCTGCCGACGCCTTCCTGTTAGATTGACGGGCAAAGTGCTCTGGCGTTCCGCCGTTACCACTCATTCCCCGTGTCCTTTCACAGCTGTCCACCCAGCCAGCTCGGGCTACTTGTGCTACTGGCACCGCTTTGGCCGTCACAGAGCTGGTTTCCGTAATTCTCAGGTTTCTGGCTCAGCCTCCTGTTCTATTACCTTTGCGACCGGACATTCTCACTCAGAACGGAGCTTCCCACCCAAATCCACGGATTCAGTGGGTGGCTTGGCCTCTGTCAGGTCTAACCTCGAGGCACGCGGAATTCCTGCAGCAGTTGCAGACACAATTCTGGCTTCGAGGCGGGATTCGACAAACGTTCAGTATGAGGATAGGTGGTCCCGCTATGCGCGCTGGTGTGCAGATAGGGGCATTGCAGATCCCTTTTCTGCGGATTTAGTCCGAGTATTGGAGTTTTTGCAAGCTCGCTTTGGAAGAAGGCCTGGCGGCTTCACCATTCGCGTGGCTACTCCACCGCTATTTCCACTTTTCACACCCCTGTCGATGGTGCTCTTCTGGGGCAGCACCCTCTCGCAGCGCTTAGCTGGCGCTGAACGGATTCGACCTGCTCTCAGGCGAACCAGTCCACCTTTGGGATTTGTCGATCGTGCTTCGATTGGCTGTCCGTCCCACTTTCTCACACCTATCGGCTATTTCCATTCAGTTGTTGACCTGGAAAGCTGTGTTTCTGGTGGCGGTAACATCTGGTCAAGAGTCGGCGATATACATGCTATGTCGTCCGACCCGGGCGCTGACTGTGTTTCACACGGATCGCGTGTCAGCATTCGCCTCCCAGATACTTACCGAATCGGGTCGATCACGCTTCCATGTGACAGCTCCTATCGAACTTCCTACTCTTACCCAGCCTTCCACATCGGGGACCACTCCTACGAGCACTCACCCGCTGGATGTCCGTGAAGACGCCAAAGTCTATATCAAACTAACGCAGGGGATCCGTGACGGGTACCCAGCTGTTCTGTTGTTACGGTGGCGGAAGGCTGGTCTGCCAGCCAGCAAGCAAACTTTGTCTCGCTGGCTAGTATCGTATTTGTGCCGCTTATCAGGCTAAGGGCAAGCCTCCCCTGAGGGGTTGAAGGCTCACTCGGTCAGGGCAGTAGCCGCATCAAAGCTTTTGCATCGGCACTCCCCATTGAAGAGATCTGCTCTGCCGCTATTTGGAGCCGCCAAGCACTTTTATACGCCATTATCAGCTCGATACACATTCACGCAATCGCGGCGAGCTTTGGTCGCATCGTTTTCCAGTGGACAGTGTCCTGCCACCCTGACCAAGTGAGTCTTGGTTTATTGGTTTGTGTTGACGCTTACTGTACAATGATTCCATTATTGACATGTCTGCTACGAGCACTCAGAGAACCTGTACCCCTTCGATTCTCTAAGGAGTTACGATATCGTTAGTGAGTGGTATTTTGTTTTCCCCACGGTGCTCTCAATGAAGAAGCCACTTAGTGGGTCGGATTTCACTGACATTCGCACTTCACGCAATGTCTCATTATGCTAGAGGTCGCCTTTGAGCACAAATCCTCCCTGTCAGTTCCCTCCCATAATGCCTCTCGAAGCTTAAACTGGGTCGAAAGTGACAGGTGAGTGTTATGGCGCCTGTTCAATTTTTTCCATGATACGATCGCTATATTTTGTGTGTGCTTGGACAGAATTCCCTCCTCCCTGGCCTCCGGTCTTTGGGAGTCTGTGTTTATGCATAATATGTACCCCAAGGACGATCTCTCTGAAAAGAATTTTCCAAACCTGCAGAGGTTTTCAATTCTTTGAAGAGAGTCGCCCTTGGGGTAGGGCCCACCCACCTCCCCGCAATTCTGTTCACTGATGAGAATTCAGCAGAAGGAATGATGATAATGGGTCTAGGAGCCTACCCAGTTGGTGCGCATGCGCTAAGGGAGGTAACTCCGTGAGGTAGGGTCCGTATAATAAATAAAAGAGTTTATTTATTGTACAATCTTTTTATTCAAAAAACATTGATACAACTGTCACAGGACATTTTACAGCCGGAAAATGCATAATATGTACCCCAAGGACTACTCTCTTCAAAGAATTGAAAACCTCTGCAGGTTTGGAAAAATTTCCGTGCGTATCGTGCAAATGGAAATCTGTTTCGGATAAATACTTGTCAAGTTTCTTTTGCGAAACACTATTTGACACATGAGGAAACCCCGACAGTAGGAATCCCTTGCGTTGCCATGCAACGATATGCGTAACTATTTTTCGATTGGCTAAAAACTACACTGTTCCTATTTATATCCAGTCGGACCTGACATTTCGCGCATCTCACGGTTGCTCAGTTATTTCTCAAGCGTCTTCAAATACAAATACATGTTTGGAAATAGTGATCGATGAATCGTCCAGACAAACCACATCACCGACTCGCTCACACAAAACATGTCAGTACTCCTTCAAAATTCTCAGTACACCTCCACTTGCAATATGATGTGTAAGTACACTCACACACCCAAAAGTTATCTGGAGCCCTGTTGTAGCATATCCAAATGTTGTATGGTATGTTTTCAGGACTAATGAGTTTGTTTAGCATATCCTAAACACTGAAGGGGCAGTGGGGTAGCCTAGTGGTTAAAGTGTTTGCTCGTCACACTGAGGACCCAGGTTTGAGGCCCATTTCTGGTGTCCCCCGCCATGATATTGCAGGAATATTGCTAAAAGCAGTGTAAAAATAAACTCACTCACTCCTGAACACTGAATATAGGTGAGTTACTGTACCTCTTGTACTCTGTTGTATCAACACTGAATGTCAGATTTTAAAATCATTATTTGAAAAAGTCACAAACAGAACGCAGGAATATGTCGATTTGATATTTGTATGTATACGGAGATGTGTTTGTTCCAGGGATTGTGTAATCGGTGTTGGCTACGACATGCTGAAGAAAGCATACAAGATACTGGAACGTATTGAAGATGATGAAGTAGAGGTAAACACCATGTTGATTTAAGACTCCGTTCTCCGTATACAGTGTGTTATAAACTATGCACAATGGTCTACAGGAACACATGCTTGTTGTAAGAGGGCAACTAACGGGATTGGGTGACTTGGTTGGCACATAGCATCGTATTCCAACTGTGTAGATTGATGTTCATGCTGATCACTGGATTAACTGGCCCAGGCCTGATTATTTACATACCACTGTCATTTAGCTGGAATATTGCTGAGTGCGGCGTTCAACAACAAAGAAAAAAACAAAATCTTTAAATCTGAAGTGAAGACAAAATACTGTCTGACATATCAAGTCGTACATGTTCTGAGTGATCTTTTGCATTAACTGCCTTGATTATATCTAAAGGAGACCTGACATGTAGTAAATAGGTCCAAAATTACAAATATATACATATGTGAGTTACCTGCCCTTATTTCAGCCCCGCCTTGTGGAGTTGTTGGGGAAGGAGAAATTTGACCTATATGCTGGCAAGATCTGGCAGCTCAAGTTCTGTGAAGAGTCCCTCTTCTCATAGCACCTACTGGCAGAACTGTTCTACTAAATAATAACCAGAGATGATCCACACAGAACCAGCCCTCTAAGATGTTCTACGTGGAACAAAAAGAGGAGATATTTTCCAAAACACCGTCCTACCTGTTGTCAAGCCATCACCTCAAGCTCGGACCTGCAGCATTCAGACCACAGGTCATCTACAGAGATCAGTTTCATCAGGTCAACAATATGCTCATTGACTGACAGTATTGCACAGGTGCAGCAATGTGGAGTTATTGGGACGTGCTCCTGTGTTTTGACAACTTTATACAGTTCACTATCCACAAGACCAGTCACCACAGCTGGGACTCTCTATGTGACCTGTCCTCAAACAAGGGCAATTTTAAACATATCGACATGTTCTGACATGTGTATATCAAGTACATCTCCTGTGAACCAGGTTGTGATATTCTGTAGTATAGATACATACACCAGTATAATCAAGAATGTTTCTTTCATAAAGTATGCAACCCACATGTGATACTGTTGAACATATGTGACCTTCTTATTCTAATTTTTTTAAAATGTTGGTAGAGAGGAGTGTTCAAAATTAAGATGGTCTATGAGGAAAGCTCCTATTTGAATCTAGGGATCCCGCAGTCTTGAACTTATAACCTTAAGGTGATCATAATGAACCCTTGGTTTTGATGTGTTCTAATGTTCTTTATTGAAAAGGATGTGAAAAATATACCCTAAGATTTGAACAAGCATAGTCCATTTTTCTAAGAGAAAATTCAGTCAAATGTACTTGTATTAACTGTGTACACAGTGACTCAGGGGTTCTTACAGTGGATGCAAAGACAAAATGGAATGTTAGTTGGAAGATGGGGAGGTTGGTACCCCCATTTTCAGTGTCTGTTCTTGATCCAGACTCAAAATGAAGCCTTGAGGGTGAATAGGACGAGGTATATATTATTACAGAATGGTTACACAGGATTATCAAGAATGATCATTATTTTACCATGTCATGTTTAGAGCTAATGAGTCATGCAGCCCACCATTCACAGCTTGGGAGGCTCATATTACCAAGGAAAGGTGGTGAAGGCTAGTGGTTGAAGTCATCGCTCATCACGCTGAAGATCTGGGTTCATCCTCACATGAGTATAATGTGTGAAGCCTGTTTCTGGTGTTGCCCGCCATAATATTGATAAATATTGCAAACAGTGGCGTAAAACCTTATTCATTCACTATTTATTGTTATCGGAACTAGACTCACTGAGATGCAAGTTTAGCATTCATCATCTGTACAGTACCCAATCTCAACAGAACCTTATTTACATATTTTTTAAAGATCATGTCTTTCCGTCCAGTCTCCAGAAATATTTGGCTCTCTTCGTATAAATATATCTTGGATTTACTATACAGTGGTCACAACAGCGCTTATTGGTGAGTAGATCATCTGTATCATGGCGCAAGTGGTTACTCGTGGATGTGTGTATAGATCTGTGGCTGCTTGTACATGTGATCGTAAATTTACCATTGTAACTCCCATACTTAACATAGACTTACGATAATTGTGCTAAGAGTGCTTTTGCAAGTAGTCTCAGGGATATGTTCACACAGAAGTTGTTCAATCTCTGCCAGTTTCTAGAAACAATTGTATGAATGGTGTGTCTTGGATCTTGGAGCTACTTGATTACAACAGGTCTTATTTGTTAGACCATCGGTACAATTCAGAAATGTAAAGATCATGAAAATATTTATACAAGAAGTGGTTCAGTCACTCCGTCCAGTTAGAAGAATATGTTGGCAGTTTGCATACTGTGTCATGCATTTACAATACCATGGTTACCACAAGGGCTGCGATGAATGCACCAGGAGGCGAATATGATACATATCACGAATATTGGGTAATGAGCATGAATATTTAGTCCTAGGCCAAATGTTAGAAAAGTCCCTATCTTTTAGGATCTCTCAGCAGCAGTAAAAGCGTTATCCAGTAATTGGTATGACAACTCCCATCCTCCAGAGATTCTTGTCAATGTGGAAGTAGACACAGAATGTATCAGGTTGCTGAAAACACACAAGGTTTACCCTGCTGTTGAAACAGTGTCCACATGTTCATAGACCAACTGCATGAGTATTAACCACATGGTTTAATGGACGGTGACAAGCACTGATGTTCAACATGATCAGGATATGCAGTATGGGTGATACAGCCGGGTGTATCATATTACCTGATAATGATGTTATCTCTACATTTGGCCTAGGAGTATATTAGGCTGTGAATGCAAAAACATGTCAGCAGTTTTTGTATGATAATATTCAGCGAAACAATTCTCTGATATGTTTTGACCATATTGACTGTTAATTTATGACAATGACCAGTGTATCCTCCTTGGATATGTTCCATTTTGCATATCTTACTTTGATCAATAACAGTTACATTTTAAGGAAAAACACTCTTTTAAAAAATTCATGAATATTCTTTTCTAGTGATGGCAGACAGGGGTGGAAATAACTTTAAAATTGCGAGTGTACTCTGGTACAGTGGCACATGTAATGTCACTTGCCCTGATAAATTTTCCACTATACCGGCCAATTTTCTTGTTCATTTTTGAAATAAACAACATAATTAACATTGGAAAGTCAACTGGACACCGGTACAGCGTGATATACATATTTGCTTGCCCGACGGAAAAAAAAACTAGACTGGGACGTTGGGCAATGGGTTTTTTCCACCCCTGGCAGATAATGAATTGAATTCTTTTAGGGATACAGTTTGATATTTACCGAATTCACATGTGAATCGTAACAGCCCAACTTACAACAATGCTGATCAATTAGTAGATCATCTTTATAATTACACTACTGGTTACTCTAGAATGTGCCTTTATCCTGTTTAACCTAACATTTTTGTATTTTTAAATTTATAAAAACATTATTTTTATCCAAAGCTTCATTCCGCCCATTTCTATTTCAGACTGTTGTGACTGGTATTTTACTATGTCTGTTCTTACAAAATTCTGAATCTTTTAGTAAATGTTGAGATTCCATGTTGTGTAGTGACAATCGTCCAAGTCAGTCCATCCAATAGTGTTGCTGACTGTATGAACGATCAGGGAAAGTAACACGCAACTCAGTGTCGAATACAGTAACAGCAGGTGTGGTAGAACTGATTACTTCAAGAACATTGGCAGACAGTTGTAAACATGGTTTATGTTCAAAATATTGTAGGGCGGTGGGGTAGCCTAGTGGTTAAAGCGTTGGCTTGTCGCGCCGAAGACCCGGGTTCGAATCCCCACATGGTTACAGTGTGAAGCCCATTTCTGGTGTCCCCTGCTGTGATGTTGCTGGAATATTGCTAAAAGGCATAAAACCAACCTCAGTAAGTCAGTCAAAATATTGTTCTCACAATTATAATAACAGCTTGAACATGTAAATCATTTCTAGTTAAACTGAATTACCTTATTTGAATGATATTTGGGGTCCATGCTGTTAATTTTATTAAAGATAGATGACATGTCAAGCGAAGAAAAAAAATTTCTTGTAAACTAAATATTATTGTTCTTAATCTACAGAAATGATAATAAGAAGATGGACTTCAAACTTATGGTTACTAGCTTTAATTTCATTTGCTTATTGTGTGCTTAGGTCTGCACTCCACATTTCTGGTGTCTCCTGCTGGGATAGTGCTGTAGTATTGCTAAAAGTAACATGAAATAAAACCATACTCAGGATTTACAGTGGTGCAAAAGCAGTCCACATAAAAAAGAAGACCTCAACTACTAACTTAATAAATGCAATGTTTCTGTACAAGGTTATCAAAAATGGCCATGAATAGTATATTCAGATCATATTGCTGACGCATGTCCTTTCATGATTTTCAACACCTTGTAATGTTATAGTTCTGCTGCCACTGACAATCTGTGATATGTAGATTGTCACTTCTTAGCTTCATTTAGGGGTGGTGGGGTAGCATAGTGGTTAAAGTGTTTGCCTGTCATGCCGAAGACCTGGGTTCAATTCCCCACATGGGTACAATGTGTGAAGCCCATTTGGTGTCCCGCCATGATATTGCTGGAATATTGCTATAAGCGATGTAAAACCAAACTCACTCACTCATTTGAACACAACCAGGTAGTTAAGTGCCATGAGTCTTGTACATGATTACACTACCACATGTACCGGTACACATTTGAAGGTCCGGGTTAGAATATTGATCTTCCGTAACCCATGCTAGTCGTAAGAGGCGACTAACGGGATCGGGTGGTCAGGCTTTGACTTGGTTGACACGTGTCATCGGTTCCCAATTCCGCAGATGATGCTCATGATGTTTATCACTGGATTGTCTGGTCCAGACTCGATTATTTACAGACTGCCACCATATTACTGGAATATTGCTGAGTGTGGGGTAAAGCTTAACTCACTCACTACAACATGTACAGTTTCTTGTATGTATGAGTATAGAAACAGTATAGCATCACCATGTCAGTGTTTTCTGTGCCAAGTGGAATGCATCACACCCTAGGTGCCAGTAACTGCTTCATACATACATGGATGCACTTATTACCAAGGAAGGAGTTGTTCTCAGGTGAATGAACTGATTGCTTGTTTCTTCAGTAGAAATGATTACGATGCATCACTATCTGCTTGTCAAAATAGCTGACTATATATTATTTAATCTGTTACTGTTTGTGACCTGACTTGAGCTGGTGGATCATGATGTAATATTCATAATGATAATGAATAATGTGTTGTAATTACATTTCTATAAAGGCTTATTTCAAATCTGTCACAGACTTTGAAAGACTCCAGTGTGAATTGCATAACTTTCATGCATGTGCTGAGTGGATCATATTGAATCATCAACATGAACTGAGTTGAATCATCCCCATGAATCATGTCACATTGATGTGGTTGTGTCTGTCAGCTGTTGAAGTCAGAGTCCCACCCTCAGACTTAACACTAAGGAAGCACTCCTAAGCACCTTATGATGGAATGAAACAGAGCTCATCTTTAGCCAGACATTTGTAAACATGGTTTATGAAGCCACTGACTTGCCAAAATTGACATGTAAAGACATTAATCAGAAATGGAACAGAGTGTTGTTTTTATCCAGCACTGTTATTTGATTGTTAATTGATATGAATATTATTTTAGATATAAAGTAGGACGAATCCCTATTCCTCCTTACTAACCCATTAAATATTTTAAGGAAATCAAGATAAACATTCCAAACTAGATTGTTTAGTGTTTAGAATTGATCTTCAGTAACCCATGCTTGTCGCGAGAGCCAACTAACAGGATTGGATGGTCAGGCTTGCTGACATGGTTGGCACATGTCATCTTATCCCAGTTGCGTAGATCGATGCTCATGCTGTTGATCACTTGATTGCCTGGTCCAGACTTCGATTATTTACAGACTGCCGCCATATAGCTGGAATATTGCTGAGTGCGACGTCAAACTAAACTCACTCACTCATCAGCTACATTAGCATCTACACACAAAAGACAGTCCTAATCAGGCCTACCAAAGAAAACTTTCCCACTGTGCAGAAAAGCCCACATTAATCGTGGAAATAGCAACATAAACACATTACCTCGCTACTGAAACAGTAAAAACGGCAATGAAAAACTATGAAACTGCAACATTTTTATATCAGCGAACTTTGACCTCTACTACGCATGCGCATTACGATCCGGGCTTCTTTCCAATTTCCGAGCAACCGTGAATCGCCTCGCGTAGAAAAAGTATTAAATATGTCGAAATAATTGCTGTCAATCATTTCATACGAATGGAAAGTAAACAAAACAAGTGTGCACACAAGTATCATGATGATCAATGCCAAATAACACAACAGAAATACTTAAAAAGTGAATGTAACTTTTGTCCGAGCTGGAAAATGTCAACATGCGGTTGAGACTTCCTCTTCCATGTGCGCATGCCCAAAATCGAAGTTGTGGGCTCCTCGTTTTATGATGCAGTGTTAGCGATTTAAAGTTGCCGTTTTTGACTGTTTCAGTAGCGAGGTATTATGTTTATGTTGCTATTTCCACGATTAATGTGGGCTTTTCTGCGTTTTTCTGCACAGTGGGAAAGTTTTCTTTGGTAGGCCTGCTAATCAGGGCTCAATTGTGTTCTAGCTATTCTCTCCGAGGAAGAAATTAAGCAATATAATTATAAATGTGATATCTGACCAATCCAAAAGCTCAAGCACCCTTCATATAGACTGGGCAGTAAAGTCAGTTTAGAGTTTATAAAAGCTTCATGTAGAGAAGTATTATTTTGGAGTAGTATATTTTTAATGAAATTGACATTAATTTCCATTTCTTTTTGGTCCCTATTTATTTCCAACAGTATATTTTAGCTGGTTGCATCCCTGTACTGCATCCCTGCATCCCATGCTACTGAACCATAGTTAGAAGTCATAAGGGCAGTGGCACAATGCTTGACTTTATACAGAGTAGCGGCTTAGTATTCAACCAGTTAAGCCCTTACTGAGAATTAGTTCAGGTCGTAAAACTCCAGCATTGTGTATTCATTAGTGTTGTGAATGAATGTAATTTGAATTATATGAAACTATTGCCACACAACTGTTTCTAATGAAAGTCAGATTTTGTTAATTTGTTTTGTTTTTTCGTTTTAGTCTTGTTACTAATTCTGATATGTGTGTTGTGTAAATTTTTATTTAGAAATAGTATAGTAATATATATACTGAGCATAGATATTTTTATCTATGATGACAAATAGAGTGAAAGGAACACAAGATTATTTCTTTGTTTATACGTTCTCACAGATTCTACTTAGTGCCGAGAAGATGTCATATGCAGCAGTTAAGTAGTGAACATATCAGGGTTTCAGACCGGTCAGTTGTCCTGGACATTACCTGAACAAGAGTTCCAAGCTTGGTAACTGTGTAGAACAGTGTGCTCTCTGTTGTTGCTAAATTCAAAAAATGTCCTTTGCTCTCCATCAAAATCATGTGTAGAGTTAGTATCAAATGTGTATTCTGAATTTATATAGACTTATTGTCGATGGTCTTTTCAATATTTTTGAACATTGAGAATGTGTTATGAGCAACATTTTCATGTGTAGAGTTAGTATCAAATGTGTATTCTGAATTTATATAGACTTATTGTCGATGGTCTTTTCAATATTTTTGAACATTGAGAATGTGTTATGAGCAACATTTTCATGTGTAGAGTTAGTATCAAATGTGTATTCTGAATTTATATAGACTTATTGTCGATGGTCTTTTCAATATTTTTGAACATTGAGAATGTGTTATGAGCAACATTTTCCAAGGGCATCAACAGAAAGTGTAATGTTATAATGAGGCCACAATATGATACATATCCTTATAATATGTATGCGATACAATTCGTATGACGATACAGGACTTGTATTTCATAAGTTCATATGCTCTCGCGTTTTGCAGGTGAATTATTTGGATTATTTGGATTCGAATTTCAGATAGCAAACTTGGGATATTGTAGAGGGAAACATATAGGTTGTGGGGAAGTTCTGTACAGATTCTGGAGTT